AATTTATACAAACGGTGATGAAGACTATAAGCTACCAAAGCATCGGCTACCATATTTTAAAGAAGACAGAGCTTCAAATTTTGAAGTGAGCATAGAGTAAGGCATGAACCTCCTCGATGTCCACATGTTTTGCATGAAAATGATTTTGGTGAACTATGACGGAGTTGAACTCACTCAAGGATTTATAGTTTTAAATGCGATATTTTATCTTTTAGTTTTTACTTTATCTGTACACTATAAATGTACACTGTAATTGAAAATGCTTGTTGCCATTGCAAACTATTCAACAAACACGCAAGATCCAAAATGGAAAGCTATTACCAGTTGTTCAACAATTGGCCAATGACAGCATGCTCAGCAATGCTATTCATGTTAAAGAGGAGAATGGAGCACCAGAATGTGGAATATTTTTGGATGGTACATGGCAAAAGAGAGGCCATGCATCCCATAATGGTGTTGTTACGGCAATATCTTTGCAAACCAAAAAGTGTTTAGACGTGGAAGTGCTCTCAGACAGGAGTCAGCAATGTGCCAAATGGAAAAATAGGACAAGTGATCCTAAATACAACGAGTGGAAAGCTGGTCATCAGTGCAAGATCAATCATGAAGGAAGTGCTAGCAGTATGGAGACTTCTGGAGCTGTGCGAATTTTCGAGAGGTCTTTTGTTACTAGAGGGCTGAAATACAAGGATATGCTTGGGGATGGGGATTCTTCAACATATAATGCAGTTGTTGAAAGAAAGCCATATGGAGAAGAGTGCATTCCAAAAAAGTTGGAGTGTATTGGTCACATTCAAAAGAGGGTTGGGAGTCGTCTTCGTAAGTTGAAGAATACAATGAAAGGGGTAAAGCTTGCTGACGGTAAAGGATTGAGTGGAAAAGGAAGGCTTACAGATGGGAAGATTGATATTCTTCAAAATTATTATGGTTTGTCAGTAAGAGAAAACCTTCATGATGTTAAGGAAATGGAAAATCAATAAAAGCTTGTCTCTATCATGTTGCATCAACTGATACTAATCCTTGGCATCATCTTTGTCCTGATGGTGAGGACAGTTGGTGTGGCTATAAGAGGGAAAAGGACAACTACAAGCACAGAATAGGCATTCCTGAATGTATTGTTAAGGTCATTGAGCCCATATTTGAAGAACTGAGCGATGCTACTTTGTTAAACAATTGTACTCATGGCTTAACTCAAAATGTTAATGAATGTCTAAATAATATGATATGGGAACGATGTTCGAAGACTACATATGTTGAACAAGAACCTGTTGCTCTTGCAACATACTTGGCTATTCTTAAATTCAATGATGGGGACATAAATTTGTTAAAGGTATGAAGTGAACTGGACATAACTCCTGGAATGTTTACAAGTAAAGGAGCTCAAGAATGTGATCATCATCGAATAAAGTTGTCGGCAAAGAAGACCTCAGAGAAGGTGAAAAAGCAAAGAAAAACATTAAGAAACATTAGAAAGAATTATATTGACAATGCTAAACATAAGGAAGGAGTTACTTATGAAGCTGGCAATTTTTAGGGCTTCCAGAGGTATAATATAGGTTATGTAAACTTTAAATGTTGTTTTCTCATTTTTGGTGATTTTAGCACTTAGGAAAACTTTGTGACATCATATTATCTTTGTTATTTGTCAGAGATGCCTGAAATTTTGTAGATTGAAGGCTAGTAATATTATCTAGTGCTTGACATTTTTCAAATTTTGATATTTTGCATTGTTGATGAAATATTTACTCGTTATGTCATAAAATGTGTACCAAAAATGCAAAATTACTGAAGAAAATCAAATTTTGGAATATATTTTTGTTTATACAGAATTAATAAAAAATTGAAAAGTGTCAAGCACTAGATTATGTTCTAAGCTTTTAAAAAAAACATTACTCATTGAATTTGGATAATTGGTTCCCAAGATATCATGTTCGCAGCGAAGTTAATTTATTGGCTAATTAATGGCCGCCATGTTGGATAATTAGTGTAATTAGTGATTTTCTAATTTTTTTCCCATTAGTTAATTCTCTTCATTAAAGTCTTTCAAATACTGATAGTTTCTTATAACTATCTTTAAAAATGAAAAAATTCAATTTTTTGTATATGACCACCTTAAACAAAGTTAACTACTGCCTTATTTCAGGAATACTCAGCACCGCATGCATCATTGAATTACCCTGCCACGCCAACAAATATGGCAGAATTTTGCCACGCTCAAATATGCCTGGTGTGCAATATTAAAAAAAATCTCCGGTGTGCAGAAGACATACTTTCCAGCCTGGCAGTCATCCAGCCATTCGACAACATCCACATCCCGAATTTCCACTGGTTATCGCTTTCAAGACGTAGCTATGCTGGGTCAAATTTTATCAAAATGTGCCGTTTGCAAAGTCTGTTTGAAAGGTAGTTTACGGCTGTTAGAAAAACCTGGAGGATGTGGATTGGCTAAAACAATGTTGTTGCAATGTTCTAACTCTTCTTGTGATACCTGTACTGAGCTCCCAACCTCACAAAGAGTGGTCAAAGGTAAAGGTCGATTTTATGATGTGAATCGTCAAGTTACTTTGGCTATGAGAGTAATGGAAAGGAAAGATCAGCTTTGGTTAAATTTTGTGCTGTTATGGATATGCCAGGGCCAGCAGCAAAAAAATCCTATAATACCCATGTGAAGGCGATTTCCCGTGTTTCACAGGAAGTCGCTGAGTATGAAATGAAAAAAGCAGCAAAAGAACTGCGAGCCAAAAGCAATGTGGGCAAGCATAAAGCATTGGATATTGCAGTTTCATGTGATGGTACATGGGCAAGAAGAGGTTTTCAATCTCTATATGGTATGGTGTCTGCCATTGAAATTGATAGTGGTAAAGTCCTTGACTTTGAAGTGAAAAGTAAGGTGTGTTACCAATGCCGTTCCAAGAAACATCTTGACCCAGACTCAGAGGAGTATAATCATTGGATGGAAACCCATGGTCCTAAATGTAATGCCAACTTTGACAGATCTGCTAAAGCAATGGAAGCTGCTGGTGCAGTGGGAATCTGGCTACGGTCATTGGAGAAGCATAACTTGCGTTATGTTGATTTTGTAGGTGATGGCGATTCTTCCTCACATCGCGATGTTGTACGCTCAGACCCATATGGAGATGTGGAAGTACAAAAAATTGAATGTGTTGGACATATTCAAAAGAGGATGGGAGGAAGGCTTAGAAAAAAGAAAAGAGATTTGAGGAATACAAATTGTCTGATGGCAAAACAATTGGAGGTCGCAATCGTCTCACCGACAACCTAATTGATATGTTCCAAAGGTATTATGGGAAAGCTCTAAGGGAAAATAAGGGGAATATTGATGGCATGGAGAGGGCAGTAAAAGCTATTTGGCACCATTATGCTTCAACAAAAGACAAGCAAATGCACCAGTATTGCCCTGAGGGAGAAAATTCATGGTGTGGTTGGCAGAAAGATAAAGTTCTTGGAACAAAAACATTCCAACCAAAAAACATTGCTGCAGCAGTAATGAAAGAAATTTTGACTGTCTTTCAAGGCTTGTGTGAGTGATAGAAGTCTGTTGGATAGTGTGCTGGCTGGATTGTCTCAAAATAAAAATGAGGCTCTAAATCAACTTGTTTGAGACTTCTGTCCGAAGGAAGTTTTTAGCGGTCCAGAAACAGTGCGAAGCATGCTCGTTAGCAGTTTGCTTGTTCAATGGTGGTGCTAAGACACTTGAAACAATTCAAAGAGGATTGAACATTAAAGTAGGAAAGCATAGCAAAACTGGCTTTTCTTTAATCGACCAAAAGAGACTGTATGCAGCTGCTAAGGAAATGACAGATGAAGCAAAGCTTCGGCGTCAGATTTGTAGGAGTGAGAGGAAGAAGCGAACTGACCAAAATGAGAGACAAGAAGGAACTATGTATGAAAGTGGTACTTTTGGGAGCTAAACATTTATTTTAAAAACATTAATTGTTCATTTTTGAGGTTTTTACCCTTTATTCTATTATTTTATTGTATTTTATCCAAAAATTATCTAAAAATATTGCACTATATTTTCTGTCGTTATTTTGATTTGTGCGATTTGGGGCAGGTCGTTTAGAAGAACCAACAATCCAATCTTTATGAAAATTGGCATTTATATGTATTTTGAGGTGTAGAATGCAATGAAATACTTAAAAATGTGATAGGAGTAGAGTAGAATTAAGTAAAGATTGAGAAATAATGAATCATGGTGGTTGGCGATGGTTTTTGGTAACCATGGAAAATAGAACACTACTGTACTGATCAAAAATTATATCATTGCATTCTTCACCCTTTCTTGCATATTCAGTTAAAAAATGGTGTTGATGTGACTTTTGGTTCTTGAGATTGACCCGCCCTAAAAATACACTATGTTCACAAACAAGTTTCCATTGCTTGCTCCCCCCAGTTAAGCTATGAGTTTCCAACAAAATTTTTTTGTTGGATACATATAGCTTAAGACCTTGTCTTCAAACTTGTACTAGCCTAATTCTTTCAATAGCAATATAGTTGAAGTAATGTGGTATTGAACATAAGGTCTCAAAACCTGATTTTGAGGGTATCTACTACCTTAAGGTAGTCATCTGCTTTCAGACACGTTTTTTCAAATTTTTTTGGAAAATATTTTTTTGCAGTTTATGTTACTTTGATGATTATATTACTTGATGAACATAGGATCAATTTTCTATAGAATAATGCAAAATATCAAAAAAGCCACCAAAGAGACCATGTCTTAAATTTTTAACCTTAGCAACGCCATAGCAACGTGTTTCTACCCATATTTCACCCACAAAAAGCAAAAACATAGCTGTTTTTGAGCTGTACTTTTGGTGTATGTTATTCAGAGCTCTTAAGGAAAGATTCATCGTAATTGTAGGATTTAGTCGGCATAGCAACCAAGGTTGCCAGATTGGCCTTTTGGAGGCCAAATAACTCAAATTTGGCTTCTTTTTTCCTTGCTTGGCCTCAAAAAATAAATTTGGACATTTGGCTTCTTTTTGCTTCCCACAGATTTTTAATGTCATTACTACTAAGTTTCACAGTTCTTTCACAAAAGATAAACGAAATGGTTCTATTCTGTCACTACTTCCCAGGCTTTGCTCCGGTCATAGGCTCATAGCATCATTATATTTTGAACATGGCAGTCAAATGGAAAGCATCATATGAATCTGGAAGAAAATATACCAAAACGTGGGAGAGCAAATTTATTTCGCTTTCGAAAGCATCAGATAGAAGTGAAGATGGGTATTGTAAGCTTTGCCATACTCAAATAAAGCCCAAACTATGAAATTTAACAAAGCACGAAAAGAGTGATAAGCACGTGCAACGGGTGAAAGCTTCAACGTCAGTAAGGCCAATCCAAGTTGTGCGAAACTTAACGATCGCCGACGAAGTAAAACGTACAGAAATTGAGCTAGCTGTGACAATGGCGTGTCATTCTTCTATTCTAACCATGGATCATCTTGGGGAGATTATAGCTCGAAATGCAACGGGAAGTAGACTCGAAAACATAAAGATACATCGTACGAAATGCATAAAAATTCTTACCAATGTAGTCAGTCCTGCGCTGAACAAAGAATTAATTGCTGATGTGAAAGGAAAGAAGTTCTCTTTAATCGTCGATGAGACTACCGATGTTTCTACAGCCAAACAGCTCTGTGTCATCATTCAGTATTACAGCAGGGTGGAGAAGAATATCGTCGCAGCCTTTGTGGACCTTGTCAATGTTGCTTGTGCTTGTGCAGATGACCTTTTTTATGCCATCCAAAATTTCCTTCGTGAAATTGACCTTGAGGTACTTATTCCCCTTCCAAATCAGGCGTAAGTTTCAAAAAATGAAAAAAACAATTTCGTTTGTTTTGGATACATTGAGTATTGTAGGTTATGATTTTGAAGTTTATTTTGTAAAATATTTCATCAAAATACTTGAAAAAGTAAAAAAACTGACACTGTTTAATAATTTGGGCCTTAGCAACGCCTTAGTAACCAAAAAGGGCTTCCTAATATCCACCAAAAACTCTCTGAAACCATTTTCATTCCTTGCTACTTTTGACGTATGTTATTAACAAGGTCTTTCGGCTCGTTTTGTCGTAATTCTGTGGTAAATAGCTGTTTGGGGGATGGTATAAAGCTATAAAGAACAGCGTGGCGATCGGGAAGTGTGAGAAATTACGTTCCTTCAATAATCTTTGAATTCTAACATTTTTGTGCTGGGAAAGTTATAATTTTTTGTTTGAAAAATCATTCTCTTTGGTTTTTCTTCTTAATATAATGGGAAATAGTCGCAATAGAAGTAGAAAAAGGGTGAAAATTACCCCTAGAAAACCAGCTAAGAAATTCAAATATGGCGATGATCATGTTGAAAACACTTGTCCTTCTGGCGTCGAAATTGGGGATCAAAGTGCAGATTATGGAGTTGAGCGTGATCATATAGACTCGATAAAAGAAGGCACAATATTTATCGATTTGTCTGTGTTGTTTGGCGTTTTTGAAGACGTTTTGAAATGCCCAGAATGCGGAGATGATACAACAGCTCACATTGATTTAAACAAAAAACATGGATTTTCCCAGTATGTTGTTTTGGACTGTCGAGATCCGAGATGTGATTGGAAGCATTGCTTTCATACGTCTAAAAAACATGGGCGCTCGTTTGAAATCAACGTCCGATCTGTGCTAGCGTTTCGAGAAATCGGAAAAGGGCACAATGCCATGTAGTCCGGAGGATAAGCTCCGAAAATTGGTCAGATTGTTCAAACATGTGAAGAAAGCATGAAACTTACCACAAATTGCTAATTTGATTTATAGATCAAAATAAAAGTGAGACCCCAGCAGGATCAGCTTGTTTAGGGTACTTTTGAGCCGATTAAAAGTTTGGTCAGCGGCTTAAATCGCGGGCTTAATGAGGCTTTTATAAAACCGTTTTAAATATAAAAATGTTAAATAAAAATGTTGTATTTTATATAAAAACAACAAAACACCATGAAAATTCCGGTAAAAATTAATTAATTGTCGAAAGTTACCCTTTTTAAAGGTTATTTCGAAAACTGCATAAATTTTGGGCTCCTGTGGCAAAAGCCTGGTCGCCTAGTTAATTTGGCATTTCCAGACGATATAGTGCTATTTCTCGATAATTTTTTTGATTATTTTTCGCTTTTAAAATGTCTTTAAACTGGAACCTTTGTGCCTTATGTCAAAAAGACACAAAAGAAAAGATTTTATGTCCGGAAAAAGCTTCAAATACTTTACTTGCTGGCTCAAGTTACAAGACAATTGCAGAAAACTTGAAAGAATTCGAGAAACTTGATTCGCTACCTATTAACATTCCACTTTCTTCTCTTGATGATGGCAGAGGTAAGGAATTCCTAATCAATTAAAAGTGAAATAAACTCACAGATCAACTATGAGCCATAAATTGTACTTATTTAGCCTTATAATAATACTTTAACAGGCATTGAAAATACTTTAAGAAATCACAGAGCATCATGGCACAAATCGTGCTATAATAAATGCAATACGCTAAAGCTTCAGCGGGCACAAAAGCGCAAAAGTGAAGAGGAATTTTCAACTGAGGATCCAGCAATATTAGGAGCTACTAGTCCAGCTAAAACAAGAAGAAAGACATTTGAATTGTCAAGTAAGAGTAGCAATGCTTTATCATGTTTTTCTGTGATTGCACAGAGGGTGATTTGCATAAAGCAGAAACCATGTCAATTACCAATAATGTTCAATCAGCGGCCGAGACGCTTCAAGATTACAAACTGTTAGCAAAATTAGCACAAGGTGATATGCATGCAAGAGATGCATATTACCATAAATCATGCTTGACATCTCTCTATAACCGTCAGAGAAGCAAATTAAACCAACCACAAGATAGTGCTGTTGATGATAAAAATGAAATAACACCTGAGGCAATAGCCCTTGCAGAATTAAGCCTATATATTAGTGAAAGCCTGGCAGCTGGTGAAGCAGTTTTCAAGATGTCTCAATTGTCAGAGCTCTATTGTTCAAGACTTGAACAATTAGGAGTAGAAGTGAAAGGACGTATCAACTCCACAAGACTGAAAGAACGACTTCTCACTCAAATACCAGAGCTGCATGCATTTAAAGATGGTAAAGATGTGAAGCTGGCAATGCCAAATGATATTGGAACAGCTATGGCTTTTGTACACAATAGGAACCTAGACACCGCTGCATTGTACCTTGCAAAAGCTGCTAGTATAGTACGAAAAAAAATGTTCTTGAAAAGGGAACCCTTTGAAGGCACGTTTACACCAGAATGCCAACAACAAGCAGTCCCCGATAGTTTACTTGCCCTGATAAATATGATTTTAGAGGGTCCAAATATAAATAATCAAAAGAAACAAGAGGTGTCAGGAGCCAGTGCCGCTTTAACGATTTCCCAACTGCTAATATTTAATTCAGTAAAGCATGTACGATCAGGTGCTAGCAATGCCATTCGACATGACAAGTCAAGAGAGACACCATTAACCACTTCCACGGCGCTCGTTGTCCATGCAGAAACAAGAAAAAACATTGGTCGACAAGTTTTATAAGCTAGGTCTTTGCATTTCTTATGACAGACTAATGCAGATATCTGCAGATCTGGGAAACAAGTGTTGCAAACTGTATGAGAAGGAGGGTGTTGTATGTCCTCCAAAATTAAGAAAGAATATCTTTACTACAGGCCAAGTTGACAATATCGATCACAATCCGTCCTCAAGAACCGCTAAAAATTCATTTCATGGAACAGCAATTTCCCTTACACAACATCCTTCTCTTGACTCACAAGGAGAAGAACGAGAACAAGTGCCACAGGATAACACTCCCACAAAGTCAAAGGTCGTCAACAGTTTACCTGAATTCTATACAACTGTAACTCCTGTCACAGATGAAGGTAAAAAGGATCTCTTTTGTCCCAAAGTCACTGGCTCTTTTAAACCTAAACAAGACCTGATAAATAAAAGCATCAAGGAAGAGGAGAAATGGCTAAAAAGGGTCGACGAACTTTTACTCAAAGAAAAGCTTGAAGAAAAGGATTACTTATCATGGTCAGCTTACTTTGCATCTGAGCAAAACGTAGTTTTGAGGCCCAATGCAATCACCTCTTTATTGCCACTTTTTGAAGACAATGCTCATACTATGGCTATGATAAAGCATGCAATGAAAACCGTCAAAGAATCTACTAAGTTCTTAAACCCTAATCAAACTCCTGTTATAGCGATGGACCAACCACTCTATGCACTCGCTAAGCAAATACAGTGGAACAACAAAAATGAATTCGGTGAAGATAAGTACATGGTAATGATGGGTGGCCTGCATATTGAGATGGCAATATTAAAGATGATTGGACATTGGTTAACTAACAGTGGGTGGGCAAGGTATGGTGTAGATTTGTTGTTTTATAATCTCAATCTAATAACTAACATATATTTTACTTTGAAGTGCTCTAATTCATGCTGAGGTTATGACAAGTGGAAGAGCGGATTCTGTTTTGAAAGGATCGCACGTGACGAGATCTCGCTATGTCCACCAAGTAAGTGCCTGTGCAATTTACCTTATGCAGAAAATTGCTTACCAGGAGTACATCGAAAGTTGTGAAGACAAGCCCCCAAAAGTTATGAAGCTTGGATAAAAGAACAAAGTGAGCTTTGCCCGCAATTCAAATACTGGGCGACAGTATTAGACCTCGAAATTCTTCTACTGCAGTTTGTTAAGGCTACCAGAGAGGTAACTTCCAAGTCTACTTACAAGTGCTTGGAAAGGTACTTCCTTGGTTTTTTGCGATGAACTTGTCTAACTACTCTAGATGGTTGCCAGTACATGTGAGAGATCTCTTACGATTAGAGAAAACGCATCCTACTCTTTTTACAGAGTTTAGTGCACATGGAAAATTTGTGGTTCAGAAGTCCCAACATCGTTTTTCTATGATGTCCCTTGACCAAAACCACGAGCAAGAGAACGAAATGATAAAAGGTGATGGTGGAGCAGTGGGCCTCACCGAGTGCCCAACGGCCCTAAGACGTTGGATGATCGCAGGACCTGAAATTGCAAGACTGGTAAGAGAGTTTGAGTGTTCCTTTGGCGTTCAGTGTTCTACAAAGAACATTACTCACCACGAACAGACACCATCTGTCCAAAAGAACTTTGCAAAAGATGTAAAATCAATGTCTGCTGCATTAAAGGAGTTTGGAAACCCCTTTATGGAAAATAGCAAGGATCTGATTGTCGTAGATACGAAAGAAATAGAGCCTGAGTGTGTTATAGAGTCGATTTATACAGCTCGAAAGATCGGAGAAGCACAATACACTAAGTACGTCGAAGAGAGACTTGAAAAGTGTAACACACCAATAACTGACACAATTGAACGCAATAAGCTTCCACTTTTTGGAACATCAGTACCAACGACAACCAACAAGACGAAACTTCAAGTCACAACATTAAAGAATGACTGCAATCTTTTTGCAAGGTTGTACATTGCTTGTCAGTCAAGAGAAGGGAATCTCCAAGAATTTTTTAAGCATGAAAACCAGAGTACTCCTCCTTCATTATCATCAGGGGACAAGATGCGAAGTGGCCAGAAATCAGAATTGATTGATTGTCTCGAAGCTGATGTGCAGACCACCTGTCCAAATGTTGATGTCAAAATCTTGGATGCCGCAGCTATTGTAAACATGCTTAGCCCAGGGAAGTGTAAGACCTTTCAAGAATACTCCAAATCAGTGTTTGTTCCTTATATTGTTCAACAAGCAAATGGTATTAGAAGAATAGATCTTGTTTGGGACCGTTATATACCCGACAGCCTTAAGCAGGGTACTCGTTCATCGCGAGGCGCTGTAGGGGCAAGAAGAAGAGTATGTGACATGGCTGTGATCCCTGCAAACTGGAAATCATTTTAAGATCAGATGACAACAAACAAGAACTTTTCAAGTACCTCAGTCAGGCAGCAACATCGATTCAACTGCCAAATGTTACAATTGTAAGCACTTTTGAGGAAGACATAATAAGTTCGAAGCCAATCGAAAAGATGAGTTAGCTCCCTGCAATCACGAGGAGGCCGATACGCGCATTTTCATTCATGCAAACCATGCAGCGAAAGGTGGAATGAGGAAAATTGTCATAAGAACTGTAGACACAGATGTTGTTGTGTTAGCAATAGCAAACGTGCACAAGTTAGATGTAGATGAACTTTGGATTGCTTTTGGTGTTGGTAAACACATGAGGTACTTACCAATTCATAACATTACACAAAGCTCGTTGAGTAGGGAGCAATGTGAAGCCCTACCCTTCTTTCATGCTGTCACTGGTTGTGATACTGTGTCGTTCTTTGCTGGAAAAGGTAAAAAGACTGCATTTCAAGCCTGGAAGTCTTTTCCTGATGTTACCAGTGTGTTTCAGCTTCTTTCATCTCCAAAAGAATCCATCTCAGAAGAAGAAATGGAAAAATTGAAAGATTTATCATTATTATGTATTCCCGCACATGCCCGCTCTCCAACATCAATGATGCTAGACAAGCTATATTTGCACAAGGTACTAAGACAATCGACCACATTCCACCAACCCAAGCCTCCTTGGTACAGCACATTCGGAGGGCAACATATCAGGCTGGTCATGTTTGGGGTCAGTCGTTAGTTTCAGTTCAACAGTTACCGCTTCCTTCGCAGTGGGGATGGCAAAATAATGGCAGATGGATTCCTACATGGAGCACTCTTCCAGAGGCTTCCAAAGCGTGCAACGAACTGGTGCACTGTGGTTGCAAGAAAGCATGTAGGGGCTTGTGCAAATGTACCAAGTCCAATCTTCCATGCACAGCATTGTGCAAATGTGGTGGTAGCTGTTACCAAGATTAATAAGTAAGTAATATTCCCTAAATAATCCCGAAAATGAATCAAAAGAATACACTGCAGTGAAGACGACAGGTGATACAATATCATTATTAAACATTTTCATGCTCTTGTAAAATTTAATAACACCAATAAATCAAGAAATCCCAAATATTCTTCTCATTTTTATTGAAAGTATGTGAAATTTACTGGTATAAATGACAATTTATACGAATTATATATCGCTTAATAATACTTACTTCCAAGAGGATATAAATGCGATGAGAACTAAATTGTTTTGTCGATTTTCTTTTTATTTGAAATGGGATCCCTGTGCCTTTACTATTAAAATATATGGCAAAATTTGTTGATAATTTTCTCGGAAACAAAAAGGTATTTTGCTGGGGTCTCACCTCTATTTTAATTTCATTGATAAACTAATGCAAAATAGTGAATTTGAGACTTTCTTCATGAATTTGAACAATGCTAGGTCTTATACTCCGGACTAATGCAAACATTTGCCAAGGTAATGAATATGCCTCCTCCACCCACTCGAAAGAACTTCACGAAGATTCAGAACAAACAACTTTTCCCAATAATCGAACAACTGGCAAACGATAGCATGACAACAAATGCATTTAAAGTGAAAGAAGCATGTGGAAATGATGAAGGAGAATGTGGAATATCCCTGGATGGAACATGGCAGAAAAGAGGTCATGCGTCACACAATGGTGTGGTTACTGCTATTTCTCTATCCACAAAGAAATGTGTTGATGTGGAAGTTCTTTCAGATAAATGTAAAGAGTGTCAAAAATGGAAAAAGAAACAAAGTGATCCAAGGTATGAAGTGTGGAAAGCCAACCACCTCTGCAAAATTAATCACTCTGGTAGTTCCAACAGTATGGAAACAGTTGGAGCAGTTAGAATTTTGAAAGATCAGTGGCGACACGAGGACTAAAATATATTCACATGCTTGGTGATGGTGATTCCTCTACTTATAACAATATTGTTGATAGGAAACCCTATGGAGATGAGCTAATACCAATTAAATTAGAGTGTATTGGTCATGTCCAGAAACGAGTTGGGAGCAGGTTGCGGAGGTTGAAGAATGCTAATAAAGGTGTAAAACTTCAGGATGGAAAAGGTTTAGCTGGTAAAGGAAGATTGAAAGATGGAAAAATAGACATTTTACAAAACTACTATGGTCTGGCAGGAAGAAACAATCTCAATGATGTTGAAAAAATGGCTAGGGATATAAAGGCTTCTTTGTATCATGTTGCATCCACAGACGCCAACCCACAACATCAGCTTTGTCCGGATGGAGAAAACAGTTGGTGTCAGTATAAGGTCAGCCCAGAAACATACAAACATAAGAATGGTTTAGCTAAATGTATTGTTGAACTAATTGAACCAGTTTTTGACAGTTTATGTGACCAAAGGCTATTGGAGAAATGCACGCATGGTTTAACACAAAACGTTAATGAATGTTTAAATGGGTTGATTTGGGAGAGATGTCCTAAGTCAACTTATGCAGAGAAAGAAACTGTTGCACTTGCCACATATTTAGCAGTGCTAAAGTTCAATGATGGAGATATTTTCTTTATAAAGATCTTTGAAGATTTGAATATAACACCAGGAAAATTTTCTTGCGAAGCAACCAAAGTGTGCGACATCAATAGAAACAAATGTTCCACAAAACAGAAAACAGAAACAGTAAAGAACAGAAGAAAATTTCTAAGACACCAAAGGAAAAGTTATATGGACAAAGCTGAGGCTATTGAAGGGCCAACTTATGAAAAGGGGGGGTTCTAAGGCACTTTACAGATATATATTATAAAAGGAAACTTTAAATTGCTCTTTTCTGCATTCATTGATTTTACAAGAATGGGTAGTTTTTGTGACATCATAATTTTGTTGGAATTTGATGCAGAAAATTGAAATTTGGTATGTAGATAAAACACAACTTAAACTAGTGCCTGACGTTTTTAAAATTTAAAATTTCTTAATTATGTTTTAATTATCATGTATTTGCATATTAATTAGTGGGGAGTTTTATGAAAAATTTAGATTTTCTTCAATATTTTTTTATAAAAAAGGATTTTTGAAAAAATAAAAACGTCAGGCACTAGATTATGTTCTAAGCTTTCCAAAAATGTATCATTTATGATATTTAACTTGTTCAATTGCACAAAATCATGTCACGCGTCAGTGCTAATTAGCCGGCCGCCATATTGGCTCATTAGTGTAATTAACAAGAATGTGAAAATTTTTTTTTCTCAATTAGTTTCCCCAGTCAATGCAATTCAGAAAATGCCAAAATTCATATTATTTCATGTAAATTGTACAAAAATCCATTGAAGGGGTATAAGTACCTTGAATTGGTTGACTGCATTGGGTATGCCGGTGATGGTGCTTCTGTTATGGTCGGCAAACATGACTCAGTGTGGACAAGGCTTGAAGCTGTTGCCCCGAATTGCATCAAATTGACGTGTGTCTGCCATTCGTTGTCGTTATGCGTCCAACATGCTTTTGAAAAGCTTCCATCCAGCCTTGGATTCCTTCTAGCAGAAATTCCAAAGTGGTTTTCCAAAAGCACTATACGACGCGAAGCATACAAGTTATTTTATGAAACAATGAGTCCCGATGACGACCAATTACCACCATTTGAGAAGTATTCAGCAACACGTTGGTTGGTGAAAGGAAAGTTGATCTTCCGTCTTTTGGCTAATTGGAACGAGCTCCAAGCTTATTTTGCTGTAGCGAAACCAGCAAATACACAGAATGCCTGTTACAAAGCACGTACCCTTCTGGACATGCTCAACGATCCAATTGTCTATCTATATTTTCATTTCGTGTCGCCTCTAGTTACTGAATTCGAACGAGTAAATGCATTCTTCCAAAGCTACCGATGCCGATCCCGAAGAGATGTTCACTGAATTGGATACACATCATAAGTCTCTGCGTGGAAGAGTTTTCGACATACAAGGCAAGCAACTCGCCATTGAAAAAGTAGATTTTGGTGGGAAGTTCTTGTGTGAAGCAACAAAATATGTCTCTTCTCAAAAGAACAAGGTTGTTGCTCAAGCAAAAGTTCTTGATTTGAAAAAACGATGCTTAGATTTTCTTATCGAAGCTTTAAATCAAGTTGAAATGCGTATACCTGCCACAAAAAACATATTCAAAGAATTAAGCGTCCTTCATCCAAGAAAAGTATTAGATGAAGCAACCAGACCTCCTTTATGTCAGCTGCCACTTCCAAATCTACGATATGAGAAACTCAACGAGATCGAAGAGCAGTACCGGAAGATCGTTCACCGTGACTGGAAAGAAGATTCAACCTTTGATGGAACTATTCCAGATACAGCGGCTGCATTTTGGTCATGCATCGTCGACTTTCAAACTTCACTCGGAGACAAGCCATTTGAGCAGTTAGCAACGTATGCTTTGAACTGTGTCACTGCTCCCGTAAGCAATGCTGTGGTGGAGAGGACATTTTCCCTGTTAGCATCAATCAAGACTAAACAGCGCAACAGGATGAAACAAGAGTTGATGAAAGCCATAATTCGCATTCGCTCAAAGCTTCAGTTTGGAGAAAATTGCTGCGAAGACAACCAGGCGAATGCTCGAGTTGTTTACGGCCAAACATATGTACGATGCTCGAAAGGAAACAAATTGATAGTTGAATCGACTTGTAGGACATTTGAGAGTGACATTCAGAAGTTTATATTGACCCCAGTATTGGTTGTTTTCATCTAACGTTGTTTACCTGTTTCATTCAACAGATGTCAACAGTATCAGTGTATATAGTTATTGTCAGTCATAACTTTATACTTGCATGTCATTATTATTTAATTTACTTCCTATTACGAGCCTCATTCATGATTCCTGATTGACCAAGCTCTTGTTTGATGATTTTTGTCAAGCTTACAGGGGGGAGGGCACAAATTCTGCATTGCTGGTTGTTCTGGAAATTTGGCCTCTTTTGTTGAAATTTGGCCTCATTTTCTACCGTGTTTGGCCTCGAGCATGCGCAGGAACCTGGCAACCCTGATAGCAACGACATCTAATCACACCGCCTCGTGTAGTTCGAAAGTGCTCTCTCAAAATTGTCAGAATAGTCTTTGTTTTTCTTAGTTACGCTTGAAATATTTGTTTTGTTTGATTTCTCGTATATTTTTTGTAATTTGTACTTTTAAAAATTATGGGAAATAAACAGAATAAAAAGAGAAAAGCAGTTAGAACTCCGCCATCAAAAATCAAGAAGATGGCCAAACATGGCCGATACTGTGATGAAAATCCTGGCCCTTCCGGGATGAAAATCGGCAGCAATACGGAGAAAATTCGACAATGTCCACCTCCAATGAAAAACGTCAATGAAGGTAAAATTTTCATTGACTTGTCTGTGCTTTTTGAAGTGTTCATGACGTTTTATTGTCCCTAGTGTGGTGGTAACATACACTCTCATCTTGACATGAGGAAGAAAAATGGCTATTCCCATGACATAATCCTTGAATGTCGTAGTGATGAATGTGAGTGGAAATACTGCTTTAATACATCAAAGAATCAAGGTCACTCCCATGAAATAAATGTTAGAGCAGTGTTGGCATTTTGTGAAATTGGTCGTAGACGCTCTTACATTCTTACATTGTGATGACATGCCAGCTATTCTAAGTCGCCAAAACTTCACAAATATTCAAAATAATAAACTATTGCCTGTTGTGAAACAGTTAGCAAATGACAGTATGTTGCCTTGTGCAATGAAAATGAAAAAAGCACTTGACAATGAGAATGGAGAATGTGGTATCTCACTAGATGGGACATGGAAAAAGATGGGGCATATCTCCCATAACGGTGTTGTCACCGCTATATCGCTGGACACAAAGAAATGTCTGGATATAGAAGTTCTTTCTGGCAAATGCCAGCAGTGCTTGAAGTGGCAGAAGAAAGTGCATGATGTGAGACACGATGAATGGAAGGCTTCCCACATCTGCAAAATAAACCATAAAAGAAGTTCTAATAGCATGGTGACTTGTGGAGCTATCAGAATTTTTGAGCGGTCCATGGCTACCAGAGGATTGAGATACAAGAATATGTTGGGCGATCGTGACTCATCAACATATAGTGCTATAGTTGAAAGAGAGCCATATAGAAAAGATTGTATTCCAAAAAAACTGGAATGCATTGGACATGTGCAAAAGAGAGTGGGGAGTCGCCTTCGGAGGTAGAAGAGTTCACATAAAGGAGTGAAACTGGGGTATGGTAAAGGTGCGAGTGGAAAGGGTGGATTGGCTGATGCCGAAATTGACCTTTTGCAAAACTACTATGGATTTAGTGACTTAGACATACTACCTGGCATGTTTACTACAAATGGTGCATTGCAATGTGATACCAATCGAATCAAATTATCCTCGAAGAAGAGCACAGAGAAGGTAAAAAAAAAAAAGAAGAAAAACACTTAGGCATATGAGAAATAACTATGTAGATAGTTGTGAACAGAATGAAGGTGTAGTGACGTACATGACCTTTTAACTGCGTAAAACTACTCAAATACTACTTAAACTTGCGCACTTGACCTTTTAACTGCGTAAAACTACTCAAATTTCAAGTACATTATCCGCCTTGTAATAACTGCACATTGTTTAGCTAAATATATAAAAAGCCTGTAAATAAATTGTAAAAGAAGAGAATACTCACGACTGTTGTAAATAACTTCTCCGCTAGTGAATAAAATAATCACAAAAATTTAATAGCGTTCTAGAACATTGAACTCACGCTCGGAGCTCATACGAAAGACTTATATAACGCTCAATTGGTGACCCCGAAAGATATCCTTAACTGGCGAAATGGCTACACCTGATGAACTCAACACCTCTTCCACGACAGATTCTTCATCTGTCACACCAACCGCTTCTATGATCAGCATAGAACTTCCACCATACTGGCTTAACGACCCAGAACTGTGGTTTTCTCAAATTGACGCTCAATTTACGACGCGCAATATCATCTCGCAAAAAACCAAATACGCATAAGTTGTTGGTTCCCTTCAACCTGAAATTGCTCAGGAGGTTCGCGATATCATCCTTCACCCCCCTGATCTTGATCCATATGACTCCCTGCGACGCGAGTTAATCCACCGTACCTCAACATCTGTGCAACAGAGATTTCACCAACTGCTCACATGCGAAGAACTAGGAGATCGGAAACCTTCCCAACTCCTTCGCAAGATGGAACTACTTGGTACCCAGACATTGCCCCCATCCATCATGAAACAATTATTTATACAACGTCTCCCCACCACTGTTCAGGCTATTCTGGCACCTATACAGGAGACTCTTGACCTCAACAACCTTGCCAAGTTGGCCGATAAAATTAGAGAAGTCAACAACATTCAACAACATTCTTCATTACTGATCAGACCACCAAACGACGATTTCTCATCGATACAGATGCCGAAGTAAGCGTCATCCCACCACTTTCCGCAGATCGACGACAACGCCAAGCTTATGACCCCCAGAAATTTTAGCAAGGAATAAAAGGGGAAACTGCCTCGCAACAAAGGGATTTTGGACCAGAGAGACGGACCATTCAGAGGATAGATACCTTAAAGAATTTCTATGGCATGGCTCAACATGGCATGTGCCCGTCTGATTCTTGGTGCAAATTCAATAAAGACCCAGAAAATTATAAACACAAACATAGACTACCAGAGGCCATTGTTGAATTTCTTGAGTCTATTTATGATGAACTGAGTGATCCATCTTTGCTTCTAAAGTGCCTCCATGGAATGACTTAAAATAATAATGGGTGCTTGAATAAGCTTATCTACGACCACTGCAGCCAAGAAGTATCTGTCGGAATTAATAAATTGAAGATGCTGCTTACAGTGCTGTGGTTCAGTTCAACGATGGCAAAATAAGCATTTTAAAACATTTTGAACATATTGACATTACTCCAGGCAGGTTTACATCACATGGTGTTGTAGAAACCAATGTGACGCGCATTTACTGGTCTGAATGGAAATCGACAGAGAAGGCAAAAAAGCGCAGAAAGCATTTTCACGCTCTCAAGAAAGGATTCGAGGACAAGAAAGAAGAGGAGAGTAATATGTATGAAAGTGGAGCACACTAACGCAGTTGCGGTAATGTTCATAGTGAATTTATACATGGGCAATTCCACAACATACACCAAAACATAAGAGAAAAATCTTACTATAGTTCTTTGTGAAAAACATATCAATAGTTATAGATAATGACCTGAAGTGCATATACAAATTGCAGCTTGGGCTTAAAAACATCAATTCTGAGAATTTTGTAGGCATGATAATCGGTGGCCTCAACTTAATAATTATGCGGTCACAATATGGACGACATTTAGGGATAAAAATTTTGAGTGTTAAATGTTACTGAGAAGGTTGATTTCAACAACAATCAATTGAATAACTTTTAAGTTGTAATAGTATATGTTTAAATCTAGGTTATCATGTATATGTAACATAATTACACTCATCCATTGGGGTGCCTGTAATATGTAACGTCAGTCACAAAATGAATACAATTTTTATCTTCTTTAGAAAATTACTTAAATAGAATTTCTAAAAGACACTTTGCATTATAAATTTATACTCTTACAAACAATAAAAGCTAACAAGATATATAAAATATAGTTCCGTCTCCAATATGACAAGTGTTAAAACTCGTAACGTCAGTCACACCATAGAAAAGCTTTAAATCACGCAAATTAAGATAAAATTTAGTACATATGGATTAAATAAATTCTTTGCACATTCAGTTCATTACTGCTGACCAAAACGCTTAGTAAAATTGTATTTGTGTCTGGTTTTGCGTTATGTTTAATTCACGATGCCACTAACCGCAGCTCAAAGACAAGCTAAAAGTAGACAAAAATTGAAAGATACAGATAAATACGAAGAGTATAAAAAAAAGAATGCAGAACAACAACGAATAGCGAGGGCTAAAAAGAAAATAAAAGAAGATCGGCTACCAACGGGTGAGAAAACCAAGTTGCAAGCAGAAAGAAGAAAGCATGTCAGAGCACGTGTTGCTGCATGTCGAGCACGAAAGAAGCAACCGAAATCAAACTATGTCTCACTCCCTACTTCACCAGCTTCTAAAAGTGCACTGGCTTTAGGAAGAGCTGTTTCCAGAGCAAACCGAGCAATAACTCCAGCCTTGCCTCATACAACAAAGCGCAAAAGAGCTGTTGTCCAAAAATTGTCACAAAAATTACAAGTAGAATGTGGTACGTCCCATGATAAAGTCACTCCACAAACAATTGCAAGAAAAATAAGTGGGAATTGGGTAAATTCCCATCAATTTGGTAAAAGCGTTTTACGAACGTGATGATATCAGTCGCCAAGCTCCTGGCAGAAAAGATGTTGTTATAAATCGTGAGGCAGATGGTTCAAAAAAGAAAGTTCAAGCTCGGCACCTCAATATGTGTATCATTGAAGTGCACGCACTTTTCAAGGACGCTAACCCAAGTACTAAGATCGGAAAAAGTAAATTTGCTGAGCTGAGACCTAGGCACGTTCTTCTGAGCAGTCAACTACCTCGAAATGTGTGTCTTTGCAAGTATCACAAAAATTTCATTATGGCTGTGAACAGTCTTAATAAAGTAATTCGTATTTTCCCGCCATACGATAACGATCTTCCTGAAAAATTCCTCTGTCAGTCTGTCACGGAAAAATGCTGGTTCAACGAATGTCCCACCTGTAAAGACGCAAAGATGCTCAGAAGTATGTTTTCTTTTGAAGAGGTAGAGCCAGTTACCTGGCATTTTTGGAAGAAAGATGGCGATGATAAATTGTGCAAGATGGTCATGGAAGGCACTACAGATGATCTGTTTAATCATATCTGCTCTGAGCTACCAGCATTCTTAAAGCATTGTTATATAAAGCGGTGTTACGCGAAGAGCTATCAAATGGAACGAGAAGCTGCTGGAAGTGAAAATTTTGACAAGGCACATGCTATGATGCAAGTGGACTTCTCCGAGAATTATTCCTGCATGTTTCAAGACGAGATTCAAAGTGCTCATTGGAAGCAAGACCAAGTCAGCCTTTTCACAGCAGCACTTTGGTTTAATGGAGAGCTAAATTCCAAAGTCATTGCATCAGATAATTTGGATCATGGAAAGGATACAGTGGTTGCATATAATGACTATTTGCTTGATAGCCTTCCAACAACAGTGAATACTGTCTCAATATGGTCTGATGGTCCTTCATCACAATTTAAGAATAAATACATCGCTGCAATCATAGATAAACTGCAAGACAAACACCAAATTACAATCATGTGGAACTATTTTGCTACTTCCCATGGGAAAGGACCAGTCGATGGAATTGGTGGTTCAGTAAAACGACAAGTGTGGACTGATGTCAGCAGGAGAGCCTCTCTTGTAATTGATGCTACTTCTTTCACAGCAACCGCGAACAAAGTGTGCAATGTGGATGTGGTGGAGATGACATCTGATGATATTGACAGCAGAAATGCCATTCTTAATGTTGCAGAGATGTTTGAGGAAGGTATAAAATCTGTCCATTGCATTCATGTTATAAATTCAGTGGTACATGTGCATGCTACAACACAAGCGGCAAAGGACGCAAATGTACATCAAGCTCCATCTGACTGTGAAAACTTTGAGGTGTCAAGTTGGTGTGTTGTCCCATATGAGGGTGAGCTGTTTCCTGGGGTAATAAAGGCAGTTGTTGGTGACAGCTATGAAGTATCAGTCATGGTTAAAACTGGTAGATATTGGACGTGGCCAAGATATGAGGACAAAATTCTCTATTCTCGTGACAATGTACTGAGAGCATTACGTCCACCACAGTTGGTAAATTCACGAGACCACTATGATACCCAGATTTCAACTACCTCAACATTGAATGATGAAACAGTGTTGATTATGTAAAAAAATGTTTGAAGAGTGAGTGAGATAGACTGATCATGGTTTTGGTGACCATTGTAATTTACGATTTAACAATGACAGTTTTGTAACATCAGTCACATTGTTTTTCGTTGCTGCACCCCACTTTGCCTTAGAAAGTGAGTTTCTGTGTATAAATTTATTATATTAATAGATGTTATGAATTTGATAAACTATGTTTGAAAACTTAATCTTTTTACGTTTCAAGACAAAATTTGATTAAATTTGGGTGCTAAAGGTCTTGTCCATTTTATGTAACATCAGTCACAGCCACTTTAATGTCGAAGTCAGTAGAAAAACGTAAATTTAGTTTAGTTTCATATAGACAACAGATACAGGGTACAGTTGGTAAAATTTCATAAAAAAATGGAAGGGTGAAATATTATAACAAAGAATTAATAAAGGTTTTTCGCATCAACAAGTCTAAGGAATTCCCCTTGTGTTACTTGAATTTGCAATTGGCCAAAAAACGATCCGATTGGTTGGATACAACTTTTCGTTGCTTGTTCAGACGGTCAGATAATTTTGTTGGTATATATATATATATATATTCGTTTAGATATTTATAATCTGAACTGTCATTCGTGTTATCCAGTGCATTTATCGATATATTTTGCGCATTTTTTTATTGTTTCCAAGTCTTCTTCAAAACTATGCTTTGACTAGTTGGCTTCTATTGATCTTGTCGGATGAAAATAGAGCAAGTTCTATTTCAATCCGATGTTTTAGATTGACGGATCCGACTATTGAAAGGTCATTGTTAAAGCTCAAACTGGGAAAACTCACTCACTTCATGAGTTCTGAGCATTGTGTATTAAAACAGTTGATCGTACAGTTTTTCAACAGTGTAAAAGGTCTAAATTAAAAGCATTTAACTAGTCCGGAATGGCAAAAACTAATCACTATCGTAGCTCAAGCAACTTAGCCTACTGTATAATCTGCTACTGAGTACAAGCCATAAGTCAATATTTTTGGTAAAAATATCTGCCTCTATGTGCGTCTACATCCCACGACAGTAGCTTTAGTTAGCTTTAGTTAGCTTAAGACAACGTCACCTATCGAAAAAATTGACGCGACAGTAGCATTTGCGCCAACGCAAGCACTTCATTTAAACCATGGTATGTTAATATATTATATTGTAATAAATTCTCGTATCAAAATTGTTCTTTTTTATCGTGACTTTTTGCACACCGCTAAGCTCTTAAAATCGAGGGTAAAATGTTTATAATCTGAGCTGCCCTTTGTGTTATCCAGTACATTTATCGATATATTTTGCGTATTTTTGTTGTTTCCAGGCCTTTTTCAAATCTAGGTAATTTGACTAGTTGGCTTTCTCTGATCTTGTCGGATGCAAGCTCTATTTTGATCCAATTATTTAGATTGACGGGTCGAAGGCTCACTTTATATGTGTTCACACGATCTGTTTTTCAGATCTTTTCAGATTTCAGATCAGATTTTCACTGAAATATTTTGATATGGATATTTTCGCAGTATTAACCCCCCCCCACACACAAAAATGCTAAAAAGGGAAATAACCACTTTGCTTATGGTACAAATAAAGTAGGAATACTTTTCCTTTAACCAAGAATCTTAACTTTTAATTTTTTTTTAAATTTAGAACTACTTGTTTTCAACAAGTCTTCCAAAATGAAAACTCCGGTGTATGATTACGCCCATAAACGATTTGAGCACCTGCTATTCTTTAAAGACACTTCGTTCGGAAACGGAGTTCCTTCCGTTCGGATGTATTAAATAACACGGCGCACTTTGGTTTAAGCAAAACTAGCGTGCATACTAACAATAAAAATAGCAACTTTTGCAATACTCAAATTTAACTAATTCACCAAAACTAACTTTGTCTTACGCATGAAGATACTCAAATGAATACTTCCAAGAACATTAGGATCGCTAACCTTCATTACCACCAAGATTATGTTGGTTTGTCTTACGCATGAAGATACTCAAATGAATACTTCCAAGAACATTAGGATCGCTAACCTTCATTACCATCAAGATTATGTTGGTTGATCTTTAACTGCAGGACATTCAACTGGGATTTTCTGAGAGATATTTCATTTTGCAAAGAATCCTTCTTGATTTCAAGGGAAAACTATTAGAAATAAATCAGATTATATTGATGTCAATCTCGAGCTTTTACCCCAACAACGTTTGAAGAAATGTTTGTCCCAAATCTTTCCGAACTTGTTCGTCGTTTTAGTATATTAAAATCGCGATTATCGCAATGTGTATTTACCAATATTACACTTTCCTGATATGGAATTATTTGAAAAAAGTCAAATTTCTTCTTTAAATGTGCTTGTGTAAGTTGTATATTGAGCTCTGTGCCGAGAAACCAATAATAAACTAATAAGTAAACTACCTGGCTCAACAGCGATTTATCGTCATTCTGATGAAGCATCTCCTTTTCAAATGCAAGTTCTTTTTCATTTGATTGGGCATTCCAAATCTCTAACTTCTTTTGAATTAATATCTCTGCGTCTCGAATTTCTCGCTCTAATTGAATGCTGGAAAAAAACCGGTAATAAGGTTGCTTGTTCAACAACAGTCACACAATTCACATCATATAATACTCACACCCGCTCTTTCGGTGCAATGTCACGAAACTTAGGTTTATTTAGATGAATCTTTTTGTATGTGCTTTCCATTTTTTCGACTGCATCGTTGACATCTCGTAATTCGTTCTAATAACAAAACGTTTCCAGAGCACATTTACTCATATACTTATTATAATTTTCATAGTAATGCGCTCAAAAATGTCGACAGACAAACAACCCTACCGGTTGTAGCAACTATTCCAATTATCTGTACATTCTTTGCTTTTATTTCAAATGCACTTTCCTAAATCTTTATTTACCATTTGACTTTCTTAGCATTAGTACGTAGATTTACAATTTCAATAGTTGACTCTGTAAAGCGCACGCCAAACAATATGATAATCGATTGAGCAGTTTTTCCCAGGTTAAAATATAAAACACTTACCTTCAATTTTTGGATTTCGGTGTCGTCCTGTAAGTAGTAAAAATCGAGCATTTTTCTAACTGATGGGGATTCAATTTCGGGCACCTTTAATGATCTATCTTTTTTGGCATTGAAATCAAGATCCAACTGAGCAAATTTTGACGAAAATATCTCATTCTTGGGTTCGAAAGCAAGAATTTCATGAAGGTCACACGACTTCTTAATTCCTCTGGATTCAACAGATTTTGCACAACCGGGTGCTAACGTTTCAGTATTTCTTTCACCATAATTTTTTGCATTTGCACCAAAAAAACAAGCTGCGATGGACCGTTTGCCAGTTTTTGTTTTAAAATCTTTCCCATAATTTCTTATGGATGAATTGTTGACCATAAAATCTTTATCTTTACTTTTATTTTCAAGGCGCTCGCTATCTCTTCGCACAGTGGGCCATACACACGCGTTTTTAACATTTGAGAGAGATCCTTGTACATAACGCGGTCTAGGATCAACTTTATTATCAATGAGAGCTGAGCCTGTAAGCTCAGGCGAGTCGGAGTCACACGTGTTCATTACGCAGGCACTTTCATGTAAATCCAACTCTTCGTTATCTACAACTTTATTGCAAGATGGTTTGTCTTCACAGTCCACTGTTTTATCTTGGACAACTGTTCTCGAACGGGTTTCATCAAAGTCAAGGTAGTCGTTATGTTTAGGAATTGTTTCATTGGAAAATTCTGACAACATTTTCATTAAAACCATTTCTTTCGGCAATCTCATTGAAAGTATCACAAGGTGTAACACTGGCAATAGTCGACATATTATTTACATTATCATTTATGTCAACTTTCTTTTCAACACATACTTGTTTTGCGCCTTGATGTAATGACATACTTGAAAGTTCAAAGGAGCTATACGCAACCTTCTTCTCGTCAATTTTTTGGCAAAATGCTCCATTCGGCACACTACTGACAAAATTATCTTCGACAACTGAAGTATTTGCAGCATTATAGCTTACGTCATTGAAAAAAATAGATTCTTTTTCTTTCGACGAGTACTTGCCTCGTATATTACTAATCATGCATCGTTCGTCGTCGGTTGAGCTAGACCCAGAAGAGTTTAGCATCTTCGGTGATTTTTCGGGAAAAGATTTTAATTGGGAATGCAACATGGTCTCTTCTCCCGAACTGGAATCCAAAAACTCCAGAACTTTTTTCCTTCTGCGCGATGATAAAATTTCAGGAGAATTACGGTCAACAAGGGTTTGGGCAGGTAATCCGCCTGTAACAGCTGCAGTTTTAAGAGATTTTTCGTCATCTTGAAACGCGGAAAAGCGAACGTCAGATGTACGTGCAGATTGAGGAGTGGTTACTACAGGACACTCGACATGTCGTTCCGCCATGCAAGTCTGACCACGGCAAGGAATCTCATCTTCATAAGATGGTTCAGTCAAAGACAGGGGATAATTGATAGTCATTTTAATAATATTCTGGATGTTTCTGAACACCTGTTCTACGTTTTTATCTCCTAGAATAACGTAACAATCAAAAACGTGATAATTTTTACTGATTAGCGCTAATTATAACCGACAAGCGAGATACCATGTAGAAGTAATTGAACAAACAATAAAAAACATTTCCATCATACCATTTAACTTGTTGTTATTTTTAAACCTTTTCACACTTGCTTTGATCTTTTGAATGATTGCGTTTTCTTCCTTTTCTATTGAACTTTGTGTAACTCTTGGATATTCTTTTTGTAGCAACGGCCTATCATCATCTACAAACAGCAGCAAAACCTGTATTTCAGAATTGTGTAAGAGAAAATACAATGAATACACTATTATATACCTTTTACTTTCGGATCAGCTTCCAACTTATTTCTGGTTGAAGATGAGAGCTGGACAACTATCTGCCTCCCTCCAGCGAAATTGTTATTTTTTTGTTCTACAGCTTCATAAGCCTCTTTTAAGGTGCGAAAACGAACAAATCTATCAGTCAAAAAAGAAACCATTAATAGAATGTAAAAGTACATGTTCTTCATCGTTCTGTTGACCAGTATTAAATATCAACCTTGCCAACTTAACTTATACTATATTTGTATATAAAACCTTAAACACAGCAACTTGGATTTCTAACATTTTTTCAAAGAAGGTGCATTTTATTCACGGACAAAAAGCAAGCGTAACATACCCATAAGTGTTTGAATGACCATTTGTAGGTGAAACAATAAAGGAATCAACCACTTTGCCAGCATCACAGAACAGATCATCCAATTCATACTATGAAGAAATGAGCAACCTTTTAGTTTGTTTTTTCTCAATATGTAAACCGATAAACAGGCTTAGGGGCTGTTTACATGATCCCAGTTAACCGGGATTCAGTGAGGCGTGAAATGATTTTGAGGGATTGATAGGAGGCAAAAGTTCAAGGTTAAAAATTAGAACTGTTTGTTAAATGCCACAAGTCATTCCTGTTGTAATTCTCAAATTAGGCAAAATTGGTTGTTTTAATTTTAAATGTTTTGCGTAGTTATTACATCAGAATATTGTGAAATTGCTCGAGAAAATTTATCTGATGATAAGTATTGAATCGTTTCCATTCGTCAAAATCATTTAACGCTTGGTTGAATCCCGGCTCATGTAGTCAGCCCCTAAAGAGGAAAATGTTTCTTGACATTTTAGTAATTTTATTACCTTAGTTATATCCACGGGTATATTGCCAACATAAACTGAAAAAAGCTCGTTCTTCTCTTTGCTATTTGGCCGTCTACTTGATGTATCTACGTATATCAAGGGGAAATTAACTACATCTGTGCCATGTAATTGAATACAACATGCATAAATCCACTTTCCTAACATTTCCAAATAACTGAATAATTTTGTTAACTCTGTGGTTTCCAAAGAGGTTTCGAGAGGATTATAGATTTCAATGATAAAAATTGGTCGAAATATGCTTACAAGAACGAAACAACTACACATTAAAATGACAACTATTTTGATCCGATACATTGAATGAAGGTTTTAAACCTGAAGTGAAACTAGTGATACAGCCGTTATCAAAACTATTACGTATGGCAAGATTTCATGTCTCATTTCAACGCCTTAATTCTTTCTAAAGTTTGTGAAAGGATTTGTATTAACTGATAAAAAATCATCCATGGATGAATGACCAGTTACCTACGTACGTGCAATGTTCATATAACTTAAATTTTGTCAAATATATCAAGCAAGTGTTTCAAAAACATTTTGAAAATGTGGTCATATAAAATGAAACTGCAACTAACGTCCTTGAAAAAACAAACCGGTTTTAGACTGCTCCCATTGATAACGAGGTCGACCAAGAGTGGAATCGACAGCATTGGTTTTCATCGAAGTTTGGAGTTCAAATTTTTTGTCTTCTGAAAGTGGGATCTATCGAGTAAGACATATAGCTACAACAGAAATGTCAACAAGCAATAAATAAAACGTATGAAGCGCTCTGTAAAATATCACAATTAGTAAATAAAATTAATTTTGAAAAGTTTCAGCGATGGGAGTTTGAAAAAAGTATAGGAAATCTAAAAAATACTTCATAGCCCCAAAATAACATTTAAATTCTACGGTATTGAATTAGGCATTTGTCAAATGAATTTATTACACATCATAATTACTGCCAGCAATTCAAACAATATGGCACAATTGCATCAATTAAAACAGCCTTTGCAGGATGTTCAAGAAATGAATCCTGAAATCCAAACTAAATGCAATGTGATCCAATGTGATCGAAGTTATTGATTCGAGAGAAGTCGTTGACTCAACGAAAGATGAGGTGCGACAAATAAAGAATAAGTACGCAGAGCGTACATGTGGGTAGCCAGGCGAGAACATGCTTCGCATGATAAACTTATTCGACTTACATAAACATCAAACGAAACTATATAAAACCATCTTCAATGAAGTTGCAAGGTTGCCTAATCTCTTCACACATTTCTCAAGGCACGTTCACTTTCAAAATAACGCAAATAGGTTCGAGTAACAACAATGAAATTTTTGGCAATAATGTGCTTTCACCTCACTGTTAAACTGCATGTTTATGTTGGTGCTCACGTATTTGCAATTGTCCTTGGACAAAAACAAATTTTAACGATAAATTCGTTGCTATTTTGAAGTGAAACCATTTTTTATAATAAATACAATACATTATCTTCAACAATATGTCTTTCAAACTTTTTCAAGAGTATGATAGCTACGCCGTTCGCGCACCGATAAACCAAACGCATGCGTACTTCAATTTGAACAGACAACAATGACAAAACAAGATGATAAGGCCATTTAAAATTTAACAGTAGTATGTCAACGACAATTCTCTTCCTATTGCAATCAAATGTTTGACCTTTGAATGCATACGTAGACTTAGAGCATGGCAATTATTCTATGGTATTCATTGCCCATTGCTTGAAACTGTATACGTGTTATAAACTTTTAATTGATTGTCATATGAAACGATCCGTTAAATAGACACCGAAAATAAGATTAATTTCAAAAACTCAAAAAAGAAACACATTTAGTTTCTTGTATTATTTGCCCAAACGAAATATAATTGATGTTTGTGATCACTTGAAAACTAGAGCTTTGACTATTGTTATTCAACTAACTTACGTATCAACATCCAAAATTGCATTGTCTATGGCATATCTAGTCCGAGAAAAATGAAATAGATGGAAGGTGGAACTCACTTTTTTGGTATAGCACAGTGGGTACAGGCTACTCACAAAAACAAGAATATTTTGGCAGGACAACTTGCACCTTAAAATCAGCGTGGGTGATGGGAGAAGGGGTAGGGCTTGCAAAAATATGGCTTAGAAAAAGGGCAATCCAAATAAGGAAACCAAACGCTTCATTTTCGCATGAACACCAAACCCTGGAAACCAAAGTTTAAGATTAAGAAAACAAATGGCAATGAAAAGAGAAATCGGACTGATATACGATTTGCTAAAAGCAGAGGACAATAAATTACATCATAATGTTGAAGATGCTGTTGAGATTGCTGCAAGCAATTCAAGATAAAAAAGATTGGTGTTGACAAATAAAAATGTAACAGCAATCACTTGTCCAACGTTTAATGAGACCTAAAATAATTTATCAAACTCAAGAGGGAAGTAAATGTATAAACATGGTTATAAAAGAGTTAAACTAGAAAGAGTATATCTGCATTCTGGGTAAGTTATAAAATAGCCATTTTTTTCATCAAGACAAATTCAAAATGTAATAACTAATGGTTTCTGCATTTGGACAGTCAAATAGTTGGATTTTATTTTTCTGTAGTGACAAGGTTAGATTCATAGAACTGGTCTGAATATGTCAAAACAAAACATGTTAGTAAACCATGGTTATAAATGTATGGCCAGTTGGGAGGAGTCAGTTGAGAGAAAGTGGAGCACATTACCACAATACATTGTAAACTAAATACATTGCAAACTCAATACATTGTACAGAGAAGTCACGGATTTCAGCCAAATTAATAACACAAATAAAGGTGGATTATTGTTCATTATACTATGTAAAATACTAAGTAAAACACAATCTTACCTTTGGCAAAAACAGTTGTTCAGTGTTCTCAGTATTTTGAAGAAGAGGAACAGATTTGCATTCACTAGAATGGCTGAAATTCTTTAATAAATTGTCTGGCTTTTGATGGCTTTGAACAGAACAACTACCCAATTGCTGAAAAGTTCATAAAAAGCTTTGCCAAGTTGTTCATTGTTTGCAATTGACCCAACGATGCTCGACATTATACAGCAACTTGAAAATCAACAATGGAAAACTTACAATAAGTGGAAGTTTATACATCAGTATATTGCATCATAAGATGCAGAGTGCAAATTAATGTCAGCTAAGTGCAACAGCAACAATGAATGGGCTACATATCATACAAATATCTCAGTTTACACATATCATTTCTATATGTTAAATATTTCACATTGGAAGAAACTTGTATGTACCTCAATTGATTAACATAATTATTTTATTATGATTTTACCATCTTTAAAATTCTAAATAGTTCCACATGGTTTGTGGTAGAAATGAAAATGAAACATCTTTTGAAACAAGAGATACAATAAAGAGGTATTCATGCAGCTAACAAAGAAGTTTTTTTCTCGTTTATGTCTATTGATTAAACTAAGCATCATTTCTCCCTCATTAATTTATGAACATATGCATATCTTCAACATTCCAAAAGATGTGGATGTAAATATTATTTATTCAATCTCAAAGAAGCTTTAATTGAGCATTAAATAAACATAAGGAAAATATTGGAGGTTGAACAATGCACCATAAATGATGCCTACTTATTGATAAAATTAACTATTTAATGGTTGGTGATATGGTTGTGACAATGTGCAGCCAATTACGAACATATTCATATTGTTTCACTGGCACAAAGTTTAGAATAATTAGTAGAGGGAAACATGAACAAATGCATAATGCAGCCGATAATCCCCTACAGATTTTGAAGTTATACACTAGATTCATAGAACTATGTATGGCCTACAAGTACACTTGGAGTGCTGGGTAGCTAGGGGAGTGGGTCCATTTTCCCCCAGTACAAAATTTGGGAAAACTAATCCACCAAGAAATGTGATTTTGGGTATTTATTTTTCATTTTCAAACAGTAACAACAGATCGATCTTATTTGCTTCTTTACAATATGATGTATGAGTGTTTTTCCAAATTTCGACTGATCGTTCCACTATAACCCACTTCCACAAAATATAATGCTTTTATCTCGCGAGAAATACCTCACGAGTATTTTCAAAATGGTTACTATTTCAAAGATGCAGCACATAAACAAAAAGAAAGCAAGCAAATCAACATGTATATATTCATAAACATACCTTCAAGGCTTCAACAGAAACACGCACGTGGTTGACTCTATTTTGCCGAATTCTCTCAAAGACAGCCGTAGGAATTAATTAAAAACAACTCAACACATAAAATAACATATGTACATAAAAACATCAACTTGTTTAGAAATTTAGCTTTAAAGTTTGCAGAATAATGGATATAACAGTTCTGACTTGCTGAGAGAACATCTTGCCAAGCGGTCGAGACACGAGACTAGATTTGTGATGATGTCGTCATGATTTTACGTGTCCAGTCTTCTCGCGATATGATGAAAATTATTTTTTACGAAGAGAAGAATTAGCAGTTAGCACAGGCTGCCAGTCACAAGCAAACGCCTCTACAAGTCATCTGAATTAGAAAAGGCACCATGCTAAGTAAATAAAGGGAAATAGCTCTTGCACAATTAAAGCCTCGGCATGCGACAAAGGAAAGCTCAGCAAGAGATATGGCGTCATTGTTGTCAAACAATACAATAGAAAAACAGCAACATAAAGAAAAGCGACAAAATTAAGCCAAAACCTTGTTTTTATAACTTTAAACATTTCTTTATGCAACTTCAAGTTTCACTCTTGCTATTTGCGCAAGCTGTTTTTAAAAATATGCAAAAGCCTATAATCTTAAAGTTACATGATAAATACTTAGGGTAAACGTCCACGGTCCAGTTTTAAACATTTGCTTGAAAAGCTATCACTTATCGGATAACTAATATTGAAATGAAAACGAGTAGCAGCCAGACCCATTGCCTAAGGAAGTAGTAGTAGTAGTGTAGAATTTATTAGCCACTCCCCAGAAAGGGCTTTTCAGTGAACTATTAAAAATTTAAAAACTATTTTAAAAAGAAGTACTATTTTACAAAAGAATTATTTCAGATAATGTACATGCAAAATAATATAAATAGTAGCAAGTTCTTCCATATTTAAGTCAAGAGTCTAAAAATTTGTTCATTAAAACCATCTTAAATTATTTTTTAAAAATTAACAAATTTTCAATACTATAGTTTTACAGATCAATAGCTCTATGCTTGACGATCTGGGAACAAGTAGTTATATATATAACGACCTGTCATTCTGAAAATGTGTTATTTTTAGAATGCCATATACATAAGTAAAAGAGCAAGGAAGGGAAAAAGATGATTGCCAGGGCAGTCCAAACTGATCACTTAAATTCAGTCTTCAAATCTTTCAATTTTTAAAGATTTATGATATATGTAAAACATAGCATTTTGGGGGGCCCAAGAATTTTTCCAGGGGCTGCCCCTCAGATATCTCCCCTGGCTACGTCATTTCTGTGTAGTCACCATCAAATTAATGCAGTGACACTGACAATTTGAAAAGAAAATCACTGCTTATTTTGAACAATTGTATATAAAACTTCTAAGGAGATGAGTCAGTTTTTGATAGTTTTATCTTCATTATAATATTTGTTGCATGCATGTTCGTACTTATGTTGGTGAGAACCAGCTTTAATTGATTGACGATAAATATGCCCGTTTAAATAAAGCTCTATTATCAACATGCATGCATAAATTCATTATAGTCAAACAGATTTTTCCGATCAAGATAAGTCATGATAGTCATTGACTCATTTTAAAAATACTGATTACAAGTTATTTACTTTAGGCCTGAGAAACTAACTGCTCTAGTGATGATCAATGCTTGTTCTTGATTATTTTATCATCATCAATTTCCAGTTTCATTTTGCATGGTAAAAACTCTTCGATCCTTTTCGTTGAAACTATCCGATCTGAAGCCAACTTATACATTTGGACTTCATTCTTGTCTTTGAATCTGTGATCGTTCACTAAGAATGGCTTAACTTTATTATCTCTGGCTTTGTCCATGCTGATTTTATTTTCGTAAAATTTCATAACGTATGGTCTTCGAACATGAACAAAGTTCTTACGAGGTCGTCGATATGGTGGAACTATCTTCCAATAGGAGTTATGATTTGGCCTCGAGATCATTTGGCCGTGGGCTAAATTCCTCATCTCACGTGTCAAATCGTATTTTTGCTTCAATGCATCAGCTTTATGGAGTTGGTCTCGTGGATCATCTAAACCCATTGACGATAAGGATTTTTGCACTCCTTCCAGATTCTCGTTTCTGGCTAAATTTACAAAGTCATGCTCTTTGGTGGAATATTGCATCGTGGATTTTGGTAAGCTACTGGGAGCAAATGCAACTTGACGATGTTCCGCCATGTTGCGATTTGGTGAGAGTTTCTTGACTTCCCGACTAAATTGGCTTTCTTCTTTCCTTAAAATGCTTTGAATGGTATTTTCATTTGACTCTTTCCCGTTTGTAGAAACTGACATGGTCATTGCCGATGTGAATCGACCATTTTGGACTACCTCAGTTTTGTTGAAATTATTTTGCTTTATGCTTTTTTCTTTATTTTGCAATTGTTTATCATTGTTTTTGGCTATTTTACGAATGGCACTTTCATCATCTTTCATACGTTGTAATTCAACCGTCGTCCATAGCAATCTGTTGTGGCGTCTAGCTGCATTTGCATAACTGCTTTCAATTTTACTTCTTACTTGTTTGCTACTTTCATCATTCTTCATGATCTCTTGCCTTCTTCTTTCATCTTTAGTGCGTAAGAGTTTTGAGTGCATGTCGAGGAAACGATTTGCGAGCTTTTGACGTTCGCCTACGATAAGATATGCATCTTCTTTTTCCCGTTTTTTTGTGTCTTCGCTAATTTCTTTCATTGTATCATTCAATTCTTGTCTCATCTTCCGCTCTTGAAATTTCAATGACCGTATTTTGGAGCAGTGTGTTCTCTTCATTTTTATATTTTGTATTCTTTTTCATGAAATAACGCAAAGTTGTATTTCAGGTTTGCTTTGAGCGTAGAGTGAACAAAATCTTTACTACAAGCAATCGCACTGAATTTATATACTTGCTTTCGCCTACAATTTCAACTGTTTCTTGTTCCTCCGTCATAAGCTACTTATCCAATGGCCTTGTCCTTGTATATTGTGTACACCTCTAATCGATGTACCATTGCCTTTTACTTGTATTTGCAATAACGATTTCACGAGTTTTGTATATCACGCACAAACGATTGTTTTGTTTTGCCAAAGTTCGTCAGTCGAAGATTTTTTGTACGTCATTTGATGGCTAAATGAATATAATTCTGAACATCTTAATTATATAAACTAGATAGAGGCATATTTTGTGTAATTTATTATCAAAGTTTATGACTGTCATGGCAATAAATTGTTTTTGTTGGCGTAATAAGCTAATACGAGACTTAAATAAAGCATCATGTAGTTCATAACAGATGTTCAACTGTTTCGCATCTGTGTTATTAGCAGCGTTTAATAATCTAAAGGATAGCCTGATCTTAAAGCAACTTTAGAATGGACATTTGCCGATATAGATTCTTGGCTAACCTATATCCTCTCTCATTTAAGTTTAGCCTTTTATATGAAAATTGGTCAAAGTTTTTCTTTTATATCCAGTTTATTATCAATAGGTGGGCGAAAATTCGAAAGGCACTAATTGCGTCTAAATGTTTGTTTTTCAAAGTTGGACACTTTAAATTGATTTGCCGCAGCGTTAATGAACGGAGACATTTCTTCCCAAAAAGCGTAAGGCAGCTTGAGGTAATGCAGCTAATGAAACACCAACTTCATTTAAAATTAAATAGTTTCGTGTTTTGTCAGTTGAAAGATTGAAAATCAATTTGCTACATACAGTATATGGCAATATTTAGATTCCATGAATTCGTGCAAACTGGCGATCAGCAAACGTCTATCAAATGACACTAGAATAAACAGTTTAGCCTTCATACATACGAAGATTCCATTGATGTTTTTAGATAGATTAAGATCTTGCAAAAATTGGTTGTGCTGCTGCCTCTCCACGTACCTTTGATGTTCAACATTGTCATGGTGATCCACGAAAAAGCTCTGTTTTACTCAATTGCAAGTAGTCTGCTCAGTTACAAAGTAAAGGAAAATAATTTTCACTAACGCTAATTAAAAAAAGTAATCATCTTCAGAGAACTAACAACAGCATCTTCAGGAACAACTCTAAATTTTTCAGTATACCGATATTGTAAATAGAAACATGAAGTACAATTTTTGGCTCATCATGATACCTTGCACCATCTGTGATGGTGGGAAAGTGATTTACGCCATTTGAAATATTCATTGTCAAATGTCAAGTCTCGTGCTTTTATTGTCGATTCTACATAAGATTACATAGCCACATATAATGAAAAACCTACTCCCGCTACTTTAAATAAACTAACTAATACTTTTGTAAAGTTTCCTTTTTCCTCTAATACAAGATCCTTTGTCTAAACTTATGATTTCGTTCTTGCTAGACTTTAGCAGAGCCTCTTGATGAAATTAATATAAAGATTATCCTACAACTGCATTGAATGACGCTGTTTTTGTTTCACTTCGTAAATGTATCAAATCCACGACACGCAGGTGTATGTATGGTGCCTAATGCTGGGTTCTTGAATGCCAACGCAAATGTGATGAAGTGATAAAACGCTTTCCGCACTTTTCACATGCGTATGGCCGTTCTCCGGTGTGTGTGCGTTCATGTGCCTGAAGTGTACCGTATTGGGTAAAACCTTTTGGACAATAATTGCATCTAAAAGGCCTCTCTCCAGTGTGTTTGTACATATGAGTCTGAAGATTGCGGTATTGGGTGAACGACTTCGGACAAATCTTGCATTGAAAGGGCTTTACTTCGCAATGAACATATTCGTGACGTTGCAAATGACCAAAACGCACAAAGGAGGCGGCACATTGCTTGCATTTGTAAGGTTTTTCTCCTTGATAAGAAGAAAAGCAAATTTTAGTTGTTGCACACAGGAGGCGCCCGTTTAAGGGGGTGTAATGGAAGATAAAAATCAGCTTTTGTGAAAGATACATTAAACTCGTCCCAAAAACAATCTGGTAAAAAATGTGGGTTGTTCTATCAGAAAAAAACATCACACAAGTTGGTTACAAAACGTATGAAAAATCTCTCAAATCCTTTGGGGGATGTGCACCTCAAGTTGCACATGAAACATTTGATAGTGCACGCTAAAACCGAAATCTTTGGTCAACAGCTTCATGGAATCACTTAAAGGTAAATTCAATTGAAGCTAAAATATAGCTTAAAGGTTACCTGTATGAGAGTACATGTGCGTGCGTAACTCATCTTTTCTTGCAAAGGCTTTGCCACACTGACCACATGCATATGGCTTTTCACCACTATGGATTCTTGTGTGCATCTTCAAAGCACGTAACGTGGTAAACGTCATATGACATACGCTACATTGGAGTGTTTGCAAATCACTATCACACGAATGAAAGTCATGCTGCACATTGGGCATGGTGGGGAGTTTTTCTAACCGTATTGTTGGGTATGCTTTCATGTTGAACAGTGGTGGAGGTTGAGGTGGAAAATAGCTTTGAACAAAAGCAGGCTTTGGTAAGACAGGCTCGTAACTCGTTGATCTCAGATGCATCAAGTAGTGCTTTTGAAAGTTTCCCAGCCACGTAAATTGTCTGCCACAAAGACAACAAGTGTATGGTTTATTCTCCATGTGAGCCAACTGGTGTCTTTTCAAGTCACTTGAGCGATTGAATGTTCTCACACAGCGGTCACATTTATAGGCCTTGGGATGGAGGATTCGTGGATTAATGGCTTTGTCTTCAAAGTTTCTGCTGACACTTGCATTTGTTGATGGCAATGAAGTTACTGTTGTTGACTCCTCTTTTACTTTGTGTGTATGACCTCAAACATTTAATAAAGAAATGAAAATTTGCTGTAGTACTGTGTAGACTTTGGGATGACTTTCAAAGCATGCAAGAGGTTGAAGATTATACTATATAAATTACAGTGTAAACAAATGCTAGATATTTGTATGGAGCAATAAGATTCGATATTTCGTGAATCTCAAATCAAGTATGTCGATATACAAAGATAGTATGGATATCCAAAATTAAACAAAAGCATTTTTTGTTTAGTTTGTGTCAAACTTTATACGTGGTTAAGCAAAAGGCGACATTCTTGTATAGGGTTCTGCTAGAATAACTGTGATTAACATCTAGCAAACTACATATCTCCAACTGTCGTTTTACTTTTCATTATTTCATATTCAGAGAAGGCGTTGTTGTTTTGTTAGGACGAAACTATATGGACATTTATTCATATTGCTGCAATTAGAGATGTTATCAAACTAATTCAAGTGGGGTTTATGAAAAATTAAAACCATACTATATCCCCCATTCTTATTGGAAATGTATCTTCTAGTTGATTTCCGCAATTTTCCATTTTCGTCTTTTTTACATCGACTTGAGTTAAAAGCAGAACTGAGAATTTTGTAATTTCAAATGGTGGTGTTTTTTTTCATAAATCAAAGATAAAATGTAATAAATGATTGGCGATGAACGGCAGATGTTTGTAGGCTTTCATTTGTCTCCAAAACCAAAACGCTAAATTTGTGATTAGCCAGCTAAGTAGTTTGATATCCTGCCGAATTAATTTGTTATGGAAAGTTGTAATTTTTTGTAAAATTGTGGTTTGAGAAAGAATGATGTTTTTTGAACAGTGGGTTGACGATCGTGCAAACTTTTTTACGATTTCTTCGTCTTATATATATATAAATGTGACGAATAATTATTACACGCCTCAAATACCTAATGATGTCACAGAAATGATATTATACAGGTGTGGTTTGTGCACCAAAACGTCAAGGCTCAAGTCAAAACGTGACAATCACCTACTTGTAATCAACTCCTTATTTTATGCTTTAAGTTGTACTTTTTATCCCAACTATATGTTCATATTGTAAGATGTAAAAATTGGAAGCATATAAACAATGCGTTTCGTTAAAAATTATGGGTTTTGCAGTTCCAAGAGCACATTACTGAATTATACCCGTATAAAAAAGAATTTCGGACGTGAATTATTTTTAATAGACAGTCACTCAGTTTTGTAGCCGATTGTAATTTTGTAAAATTTTTACTGGAACTAGAAGTATGAACTTAAACAGTAATGATACTATCAAACATGAAATATTCAGTACAGTTCTTTATTGAAACGGTTTTCCCCAATAAACTAAGTATGCAATGCAATTGCATTCGACACGACTTTGTACATGTGAAGCTAGTTAAATGTATGCCTTCAATATGATATTTATTACCATTTGTTCGTGAAACATTAACGTATTATCCTTGAAGTAGGACTAGCTTTCTAAAACTTTATGCTACGTACGCTTGTTACATCGTTTGTTATTATCATCAAATTGTAAGCGTTTTGTAATTATTTCTGTACACCAACGATAGCTGCTTAATGCTGTTAACTGTCATGAAATCACTTCTAGAAACATTTAACCTCTCTTTTTAAAAATTACGTATTTTTCTATGCGAAAATTTCCTACTTTATTACATTTTTATACGACCTAGCCATTTAGTTGATTGATCATTACCAATGGCTTATTGTTGATGGTGTAAACCCCTACACCTGCGTTGTTTTGATGATCAGCTTAGGATTAAAGATGCACATTTTCTTTTGCGACAAATGTTTGTACTGTTATTATGTTGTTTTCAGTATTTTTAACATACGTTACGCCTGAAAACACGAGGGAAGTTTCCTTCCTTCGACATGTTAAAATTACAATGGTATAGCTACATGGTCAAAACAAACAACGTAAATCTATAATTATTAGTATAAGATCCTTGAAAAGTGCAACACTTAAGTTGCATAAAGCTACAAAGATATGAAGAGGCTATTGATTAAAATGTAGTGATGTATTCAAGCAAAGATGATGATGTCGTTTTATTTGAGATATTCAGGATACGTCTATGCCGCACCGCACAGTTCTAAAAATATTAACTTTCCTCCTTACCTTCATGCCCGTTGATTTGTTCTGTTTTTTCCGAGTTATCCTCATCATCACTTAGGTCAAGAAGATTTCTAATCAAAAATGACCTCGACATCATTCTGATTGTCAGTAATATACAGAGTGTAGTTTATGTGTATGTTCGCCGACCCTTTGGCTGTCATATACCTGTTTGAATACTTTCCTGTTTGATCAGATTAATTTAAACTGTTGCCTTCACTCAAAACGAGACTGCTAGCGTCACAATGTGAGAATAAACCTCCATTGTAACAAACACCTGTCGAGAATACTTTATGATGCTTAAAAAATAGTTTTTGATATGAATAACGAAGCACTAGAGAGAAAAGAAATATATTGGAAAAAATTAACGCAATTATTAATGCACATTTGTTTGAAATCTTTTCTTAAAACTTCTTAAACATAATATTTTTAAAGATTTATCAGCTTCATAAAAATTACCGAAAGCGTTGTAGCTCACGCAAAATTTGATACATGGAATAACCACTGATTAAATCTTGTTCAATTGCTAAATGATCTCAAACAGTCATATCTTGATAGCACGCTTGGTAATTAAAACCGAATGAAATAAAGGCTATGACGATCAGAAACTATTACGGTGATGTGGTTGAATGAAGATAAGTCGCACAGGAACACATTATAGCTGGACGCAATTACTATTCTGATATATGAACCAATTTATCTGAACAATGAGTCAATACATATGAATTATCGAGACCATATCAAAACTAAACAAAATATTCCAAATTGTTGTGTTCAAAACAAGTTTATGCCATTTGAATTTTTCCTCAATCATACGATGTCGAACATTCTAGAAATTAAAAGAGAATTTATAATGGTTTGCCTGTTAACAAAATAATTATCATTCGGAGATTGAAAATATATTTTTCCGACATGTTGACTTTAAAAACTCACGTGCACTTAATCCTGGAGAGCAGATATTAAATTTTTTTCACTTACATCTCTGGGAATCTGCTTTCTCTGACGAATTATTTCCAATAATAATGAGAAACTATTATGAATTAGTTACTCTTATCGAAAGCATAAAATTGTGTGAATGTTGAGTGCTTATTCATGGATATTTTTCATTGTTAACAGATGCTCATATCTTCTATTGAAGGCAACTGAATCATTTTAATGTTTAATGTTTAAAAATTTTGCCGAAGGTTTTGTTCTTTGCTATAGCCATGCAATGTTAGTGACTTTAAAATTCTTGCAAATATCTATTTTGCACGTGTGCCAAATGCTGTTTCTGGTATTTACGTTTCCAAAATGTCTGTTATAAAACTGCAATCAGATGACAAAGCTTTAATCATTTTGATAAACCGAAATATATTCAGAAATGGTAGCGAACATCAACAATTCAACACTGTTTACATTCCAAATTTCTACTTTTCAAATCATATTGTCTCTCGCCAAACAGTCTGCTCATTGAAATTTTCGCGAGAAATTATTAGTTTTTCGCGGAGCATGTATTCAATTGAAGATATATTTAAAGTTACGCAGATATTCAAAACATTAATGCGCTACAAAATGGATGGAAAAGAAATCAAACAGGTCTATTCTTGGAATTTGTTGTAAAATAAAAATTTCTTGTTTTCTCATTTTGCAACAAAATTCAAATTACGTTTTTATCTCTGCGGATGTTACTTCTATCTCTAAATGGAAGAAACTTCTGCTACTATGTGTAACTATTGTTTATACATATTGATGCATTGTTGAGTTAACTATATCTTAGATTAAAAGTGGCCGTTTTTAATACAAATATTAATAGCAGACGTACATGGGTTCGTCTTGTCAAAGTGTTAATTCTTTGTCTCTCTTTTTGAGATCTTGCTCATGATATTCAACCATTCATAATTGGCTCGATATTCAGTACATTCGGCCCATGCAAGCTGCTCATTGATTTTGATTAAACAATTGATCAGTCAGCGATAAGTATGCTATCAAATGAAAGGGGATTTTTCTAGAAATTACGTTGCTATACTTGAGCGAATATGGCAATAAGCAATAGATAAATTGCAGCCAAAGACATTCGTAAGATCATTCGTACGTAATATTTATTCAAGACCGCGTGAAGTGAACTTCAAGTTCATGCCTGTGATTTTTATCACCAATTTCATGATAATTAAACAGTTTCGTAATGCGAAAAAATGTCAAAAGATTTTAAATTCCAGGGTTTCAATCTTTACTGAAAGCCTTTGAAAGGTCCAAGATTTTGAAAGCGTTTTCCAAAGTTATTTTATTCGTTGCTTCTAGAGCGAGATCCAGGGTTAAATTTTGCACTGCAGACATATTCCTAACTTTTTAGTCTTGACAGTGTCTGCGGCCTAGTTTAATCTGAATGATATGGCTTCCCATAGCGAGGTAACGAATTAAAGGATAATTATAGCTACTTTAGGTAATTATAGTAGTATTGTGTACACTATTTCTGCATCTAGCTAGCTGTTCACTTTCAATACGCACTGCCTATCGCACAAAATCAGTTGCTACTGGCTACTGAAGACTTTTATAGGGAACAATGAACTCTTCGATTCAAATTAAATAATTATAGAAAACAGATTAATCAAAAACTTTTCCCCTTCTGCGTTGCAATTTTCATGAGGAAAAAGGATGACTAATAACTCATAATTTCGTATCACCAAAATGGGATGCCGTTGACCATTTGATTATAAATCTTCGTTGTAATATTGTTAAGTGTTTTTCATTGTACCGTCACTACCATTTTCTTTTTTATTTTTGTGTCAAAGTTGATAATCCATTGAAATAATTGCAACAGTGGACAAAACACAGGAAGAAGCAGCTTCCACAGAAAAGAGCCATCTTAAAAATTAAATTTAGCAATTGAATAAATACAAGAGATGTGAGTGTTAACTTTACATTTGACTTTATTTCAAATCCTTCGTCAGACATTTAGGTCTGGGCTTTGAAATAACTGACGAAGCCAAGAAAGCTTTGTGTTTGACAATGGCTTTGTGTCTGACAGTGACAAAGGCTTTGGTTCAGTGTCTGACCACTTGTGTCAGACAAAGCCTTTTCAATAAGGTCGAAAACTAAACCTCAATTTTACTTCCTCGATTTTAATTCAAATATTAAATTTAATGATAGCTATTTTCTTCGTAATTTTCTTCGTGCTTTTCCCTACATTTTCAGCACAATTCGTCATAGGAGTACAGCAAACAGCACAATTTGTTATTGCCCGATTGCAGGCAAATCAATACAAAGAAAAACAAAATGGCTTCCAACGAGCACACAAATGTAAAGGAAAAAGAAGAAGCTAAAAGCACTCCTAGAGATGCCAGGGCGATGAAAATGCTACTAAAAGAGATGGGAGTAGAGGAATACGAACCAAGAGTAATCAATCAAATGTTGGAATTTACATATCGTTAGTTGTAACTATATTTGTTTTCGAAGATTCTAAGATAGTTTACTGTTTACTTAGAATTTAGTATAGTGATACAGTCGAACACCTCCCGGAAGCGAACACCTCCTGCAAGCGGACACTGCTAATACACTATTAACTTACTATTTTTACAACCTCTCATAAGCGAACACCTCCCGCAAGCGGACACGGGCACCAAAACAACCTTGAACCTTCCCAATCAACATTATAGGCTTATAGCCTCTTTGATTTATCTTCTGTTAAATTACTAATTAATTGACATAATACAACATACGTAGAAATATTTGAGTTTTAAGAATTTATACAATAGAAAGACCTGATGTCTTAAAAAAAAATTGACATGGATAGTGTTATATTCACGTCTGCGCCCGAAGGTGTTCGCAGTCCGCTTACGAAGTTTCGACTGTACTGTATAAAAGTAATAGATATTAGTTTACTAAAACAATGAATAAGAAGTGAGAATTGATGGCGTGGGTGATCGATGAATAGCTGGAGATGATAAGTAGGGCCAACATCATCGTAAAGTTGTTGCCTTGTAGGATATGTCACTGATGTCTTGGAGGATGCCCGCATTTACTGCAATCACGCAAGTAAGAAGGAAATAGATGCTGATGATATAAAACTTGCTGTGCAGCTGAGAATGGACAATTCCTTTACTAATCCACCTCCTAGAGATGTATGTATTTGTATCTATGTGATTTTGAATGGACAAAGTTTGCAATAACAAATAAGAAGACTCACAACACTCAAACATCACATTTTGTTTAGTTTTTGATGGAAATAGCACGACAAAAAAACAGCACACCACTTCCTCTCATACAGCCAAGAAGTGGATTACGGTTGCCTCCCGATCGCTACTGTTTACTTTCTAATAACTATCGTGTAAAACAGCAGCAGAAAAAGGTGTGTAAATTGAAACTTGTGTATTTCGCTAAAAATTTTTTGATGAAGCACAAAATATCCAATCTGAATGTAACTTTTGTTGACTTTAGTGCAAAGTTTAAATGAAATTTTGTTGGAAAACTTTCAATATTTTGATGAGTCACAAGAATTCAATTGAGTCATGAATACTTAGTGTAAACTTTTCGAGAAGGGGAGGGTGAACGCTATTTATGTTTGTTATGATTTAAAGTAGTTAGTCAATGTGTCAAAGGTTATTTAGACAGTTTTAGTTGTCCTATAAAAGTCTTTAGACTCATTTTGCCAAGAACTCAGAAAATTTTGAGAAATCATTGTCTTCAATATTTTCCCTGTATAAAATGGTAATGTTCAAAGTGCATATATATATGTGTTATCGGAACTTTACCCACATGTTCAATTTCGTACAGTCAGTCAGAATTCTCCCAGTAATACTAGGTGTGCCCCCCCCCAAAAAAAAACACAAATTCACTGTATGTGTAACTTTATCTTTCAATTATAACAGCACCAGCAAGCAAGATCAGTTCCAATTATACCAGCAAGGTCTATTCCTCACTATCCAATGACAACAAGCTCCCCTGCTATAAAAATAACACAACCTATAGTGAATGTGTCATCAGATAAAGGTCTGGCAACCACAGGTCTGTCACCTTTGTCACTAACAGTGAAGACTGCACAGAATACTTTGAAAACAACACCGTCATTGCCTCAAGCATCCTCAAATATCATCAATAATCCCTCTGGTGTACTATCAGTTAGAAATTCTATCTCAAACCAACCAGGCACGGCCAAGGCAGTTACACAGGTATTGATTCTTGATAGAACAAATGCATTTCGCACTGTATTTTGAATTGGTCTGTTCTAAAAAAAGTGATGTTTGATTGTGATATCTAGGTTTATAAGCTGTCGTTTTTGATCATTTTTATTGATATGTTTTCATTCACAGTCAAAATCATATTTGTTTCTTGAAAATTCTCAGGCAAGCGTGGCTACCTCACAAACTACAAGGCAACAAACATTTAGCACTTTGAGTACAATCACGACTCAAGCTTCCCAATCAATTACAACTGTATCAGCTCTGCCAAGTATGGATGAAACTGTCGCAAGCAGTTTGCAACAACAAGCTTTAGTTTCGTCTCTGAAAAGAAAGCGAGACGGTGAAGATGACGACTACGATGTATGAAAGAAGCAGTGCATTATCTATGCATTGGTTGACGAAACATTAGCGACAACATATTCGCACTTTTCGCAAGGTTGGTGAATGAAGACTGACATTCCACTATGAAGACAGCAACTTTAATTGAACGGATAAAAAATTGATTTTCGCAAGAAAAGAAAATTTAACTGCCCATATTTTGACAGAGTAAAGATACTTTAGATACACTTTCTATGGCCTATGTTGTAAAATATGTGTTGTAAATTGTCGGCTTAAGATTTGATATTTCTTGCCTAAGTTTTTCATGTGACTTGTTTCAAGCGTTAATAAATATGGTCAATTTTTTGAACTTACCTTCGTGACTTCAACTTAGAAAATGAATGTTAATGTATTGGTCTTTTCTAGCGAAGGTGAATTCTGTTGGTTCTGTCGATCAATTTTCTCTATTAACAATAATGAGAATGAGCCACAATGAACTGCTAAATATTCAATTTGTTAATATATTTTTAATTCAATCTTTAGCAAAATGCAATCTCAAATGAGCCAACGCCAGTTTAGTAAGAGCATGGTCATTGGTTTCTTTTTCAAGAAGTGATTGAATAACATTTACTCTCTCTGTAAGTTCTAGTATCTCTTTTTTATGAAGCGACTTCGAGTCGATGTTCTGGTTTTCAAAACGTTTACAGTTGCTTTCTAATTCAACTCGCAAAACGTCTTTTTCTTTTTTCAACACATTCAACTCACGTTTCATTTCCATCACCTCATTTTCAGCAACAACTATATCTTTACGAGCATCTTCTAACTGACGACGACAGTTCTCAAGCTGCATGTGCGCATGCTTGGAATCGTCTTTGAAGGCTTTGCAGGTGATTTTCAATGCTTTATTTTGTTTTAGAACGTCGCCATACTTCCGTCTCAACTCAAGAAGTTGTTTCTCTTGGTCACGACAGTTGTCTTTCACACGCTCGCAATCTTTTTGCAACGCACGAGAAAGAACACTCAAACGAATTGTGTTCAGCTTTGAACATTCCAACGATTGACGAAGAAAGTTTAGTTCCTTAAGATTCCACGGGCACCCCCCTTGAATTTCTTTTGTTGTGTTGCCATTTTGGTCGTTTTTACTTTCTTCTCTACTGTGTCCATCATTTGTTCGACCGTAAGACCCCTAAACATTTAAACCATCAAAAGTTATTTTCATATGTCTATACAACAGTCTAAGTACCTAAGATAAGTCCCACTTTTATACATATCTCATAATGGCAGCCAGTCAATTGCATTTTCTGACTAATGCATAGCGGCAGGAACACAAAGATGGTCAACCGTAGCCACTAATCTAATACACAGCACCACATTGTACAGCGTGGCGGTGCCATAGAGATGAATACAATATATTCATTTCAATAGGTGGTTCTGCAGCTCGCCAGCTCTGCTGTCGATTTTGTACATATTGTCTCTAGTATTTGTATAACCAAAATCATCCACGTCTCTAGACTACTGTTACTATACTATTTATAACCATTGTCAAATGTAGTTTTATCAATTTCAAGAAAATTCATTAATTCATCGAGTTTTGAAAATTTCTAGCAGAAACTAGAAAATACCACAACCTCTCCAAATGATGGTTGGACTTCTTCAGTTTTACATTCCTTTTTTTCGTTCTTGTTCTCGATTTTAAATTTCACATTTCCTTTTGATCTGTCAGTTTCATATTTTAGTAAGTAGCTGTGAAAATTATCTTCATATGTTTTTTGGCTACGTGAACTTTTTTCTTCACCTACAGCGATCCCAATGTCGTCAAGTAAGTCCTCGATTTTGTACTTGGCAGGAAAAAGTTCTTCAATCCAGGCCGCCATCTTGTTAACTATACTTTGGTCTTACATGAAGAATTATATGTTTGCCTTGTGGTCATGTGCAATGGTCATGGAACAATGGTGGAACACATAAAATGAAGTATACACTTTGAAAAGTTATATTTTACGAAAGTATTACCACTGCAAGCACGTGGTGTAATCCTGTCGAATTATTATCTAGGTTCGTCGTCTATTTGAGGGTTAGTGGAAAAATTATTGTTACTTCTCTCCTAGTGGACTCTTGCGACAAAAATTTTTGGAGGCGTTCCCCGCCTCCATGAAAAATAGGAAGTGTAAGACGATAGTTCCATTTACGGATTTGTTTGTCGTAGATGGGCATCTTACACTACTTAGCTGCGATTGTGGCATTTGCAATATAGTAAAATTGTCAATTTTTTCTGCTTAAAATTATTTTGAATTTGCATCATTCAGGAGTGTCTGATCAAGGAGACTGATCCTTAATTGCAACAATGATTAGTATTTCCATAATTTCGTAATAGCGCGATTGAAATGATGTCGTAAACGACAACTTTTTTTAAATTTTTTTTTGCAAACATGTTTCGGCAAACTTATTAGTATATTGTATTGGTATATTATATATTGTATAATAGTATATTAGTATGTTTCAGCAAAATTAGTATATTGCAACGTCAGCACATCTCAAATCCAAAGCAAGAAAGTCAGTTCAATGACATTTATACCTCATTGTCAGCTGATTTCAAAGATGGTGATGGGCACAATTTTTTGTTACACTCTACATTTCATTTCTGAAGTTTTGATACCAATAATGCAATTTCCTTGTTCATTTTTTGTTTCATGTGATGCTTTGAAATCGCTGGCATTTGATTATTGTGGATCCTTTCCTAAATATTGTGATAAAATGATGAACAATTGACATTGTAATCTTATATTATGCATCTTTATTTTTAGCTCTTTTAACTTTTTCCTGTCTCACAATGCCACCATCATTTTCACCTGTCTTGTCCTGTTTTTGCATTTGGACGACATTTTATTACATGCTTTGCATGTTAAATCATGAGAAAAGTTCAGAATTCAATTGCCGTATTGTGACAATCATACATGGTGTTTTCAGTTGTATTCTATGTTCATATTGTGGATTTATTGTTGGACCATGGCCTTTTGATGCATTAGGTGAGCAAAACACGCCATTGCAGACACTTTGCATTGTAGTAACATTGGGCTACTTTATGTTTGACTTTCTATGGTGTGTCTTAAAGCAGACAGAAGGAATTGACATGTTGCTGCATCACATAACATCCATATGTGGACTTTGCCTATCAATGTATCTTGAACATTCAGGCTCTGAGCTGGTTGCTACGATATTTGGCTCAGAAATTTCCAATCCTTGTTTGCAGATGAGGTGGTTTCTTCGTGACGCAGGCAAATATAACACTCACATTGCCAAGCTCAATGACATCTTGTTCATTGCTTTGTTTTTGGTGATCCGCATTGGACTTGGTAGCCAATTGTTGCATTGTACATTGTTCTCCTCCAAATCACATGTTTTAATAAAGCTTGGTGGCACTTCTTTGTATACAATTAGCCTAGTTTGGATGATTTTCATTTTAATGTTTGCAAGAAAAAGATTTTTTGGGAAGAAATCAACTTGAATTTGATATCATTGATTGACCAAAATTTCGGGGAATCTTGGTACAATAATTAAACGTGTTGCTTTAATGGAGCGTTTTATTCTTGGAAAATAAATAATTACATCCTTTGGAATCCTAGTTAATGTTAGCTTCATTTTACGTTCCTTTTAAACAAGGATTTAGGCAAGTTTGTGTGACATGGATTACTACAACTCTGTCGGGCAAAGAGATTATGACGAAGTGTTAAACTTGGCATTCATCAGACTACTTGATAACACACTGATATACAAAAGAATATCATACTCAATAATCGCTAATACTCAAACCAGATGTTTTTCGTGCAAAGGTCAACTTCTGTCGTGGTTGTTTGATACCAGGCTTGTCCGAATTAGAATAGCGTCATTGGAGGAAGGACAGATAAATCATAAAAAGTCAAAAATTGAGCTCTCAAAATATTTGCTGATGGTTGAAACATTGATCTGCTGACTTCGTGCCACATCTTTTAATTGGGAAAAATTTTGCATTATTAAACTGTTATCGTTATCACAGCATTGGCAAATATATACTTGGTCATACGAAAGACTTGGGAAGCAAACGACAAAGTACCAATCAAGTGCTCAAGACAAGAACAGCTTAAATTCCCTTTCATTAGTTAGGGCTTAACAAAAGGTAACTATGTTTTGCGTTCCTGTCAAACTTTAACATTTCTTAGCATTTATTTTTACAGTTTTACTATATTATTTACTATATTACAAAGAAGACGAATTAACTACTTTATAAAATAGAAACAATAAAACGCGTGCGCTGATTGGTCTATAGCTGTGTTTGCATTAGTCTGTGCAAACTGATCTGAGCTCAACCAATCAAATTAATTAATCAAATAGAATTTGTAAATCAATCGTGGATTTATTTTAAAAGAAAAATCGGAATGTTTGTTTTAAATTCTGTTTTTTATTGTTATTATATGAAACAATTAAAACATGTCTTTCGTGTTTGCACTGGCTTATGCAAACCTCGCAGACGTTTGTGAGGACTCTCGAGCAGGTGCAACCCTCGACCTACTTCACAGTGTAGGGAATATACAGTAGGTCTCCTTTGTGGGCAACTGGTTGCTGTATATTCAATTACATTACTGGCTACTCTTGGCCATTTCATCATTCCTATTGCTCAAAAAAAGCAATTGATTGGCTGCCACTATGGTAATGACATGGGTAATAAAATATGCGTGGCACAATAATAATTAATGAAGTGGCTCTACTGTATATTCAGTATACTGTGCTTTCGGTCTTAAGCTTGCACTGATCTGCTCTCTAGTTCTCCCAAAGGTCTCCTCAGTTTGCATAAGGCTGTGCAAACACAGTAAACATCTTTTTATTTCGTAAATATCTATAGTGAGTCAGAACATTAACGTGAATGTCCGTAGGCGATTTTGTCCGTTTATTTATTTAATATATCGTTTAGATTGTTTTGACATGTCTTGACTTAAAATGTTTTCCACCATCATACATAAAAATACTTTAATGACTTCTACAAAAATCTATGGTTCCCGCGAACCATAGCACTTACGTATGTAAGTTAACGAAGCCGTGTGACGTTAACTCAAAAATCGTTCATTTCCTATGTGGTACATAAAGTACAGAAATAACGCTCGTTTTCGAAGGTGGCATTATTATCATTTCACGAGTCATACCACCCTTTTTATTAGCTTGGTTTAACTGCTACAATGATACACCATATGTTCATATTTTTTTGTCGTCTTAATTATACAAATCCACATTCAAATCTACTATTTAGCTAGTGTAAATTATTTCTTATAAGAACTTCTTTATGTAAGTCGGGCTTTCGTTTTGCAATAGTAAAAGACCGGCAGCTATAAAACCGCGGACATCAGCATTTTTCGGTGCTCTTACCAAAGTGGTAACTTTCGGCTTCTATAGCTCTGCTTCATGAATGGTTGATATATAGAATATATTAATATATTATATATATATTCTCTGATGATGGCTTTGGAATAAAATGAATGGTTGACAGTAACAAAAATCAACAACACAACGTGTTGGCAGTGCATAAGTAAATAAACACAATACATACACAAGAAAACGAATACGAATTTAAGATTAAAAATTAAATTTAAAATGACTTTATCCTGTCTCCGTTCATTTGTTTTATTTGTGCTACCATACGTGCTTCCGGAGGACTGGAAACTAATTGTCACGTGCAGCTAAGATGTCTGTAAAAAATGCTTTCTATGTGTTCATCTCTTTAAACATGGACGTAGCATAGAGGGATTGGTGTATTAATGTTTGAATGTCATAATCTGTAGGAAAACAATTGTTTCAAAAAAATACATGTGCATGAAAAACCCTCCTCCTCCACTATTGTGACTATCGATCTTCCGACGTCCCTTTGTTTAAATATTTTCGGTAGCTATGTGGCAATGTAGCTAGCTATTTGTGTAGATTAATTTCTTGATTTACTTCAGTGCAACGTCTGTTGTTGACAGCTAAATTCCTAGTTATACCACTATAATCTTTCATCAATAATCTGTCTGGGTAAAAATTGGCTACTGTACCAGTTCGGTTGACGTGAAGAATGGACGCTTGTGAAACATTTTTGTCGCAGTTATTATTGTTTGATTGGATGATTTGTAATGTTTAAGCTTCGATAACAAAAACTCCGTTTTCTTTGTAGATTTTTAAGTTTCTTAACGTCTTTACCATCATACGGGGCTGTTCCTGGAAAAAGAGAACACCCTTATACGTAGTCATTATAACCTCAGAACACACGACATTTTTTCAGCTGATGTCTGTTGCAAGAAACCTATAGAGCTCGTCAATGGATAGTGATTTTCGACTTTGCCATTTTTGAGCCAGTTTTTCATCGTATTAGTTATACATAAAGTCAAAAGCTGGATCGTAGCTTATCCTATTGGAAAGCGCTAACTATGTTTCTGGCTTTATGAAACATAGATTGCTCTATCCACTGGAAGTAAAATTTTGTAGATAGTTACAACAGAGTCCCTATATATTCCGATTTCAGTATCCAGTGAACAATGGCCTCTGGGCATCATGCAAAGGGGTGCCGATTATAAGGGGGTGGAGGCAGTGACATCGCCAGCTTTGTGAAGTATGTGTAAAAATCAAGGACGAAGAAATTCGGTTGGGCCTAGCTAAAAATTTGGGCTTCTTTATGAATTTCAAGAGGAAATTTTGAGGTATGGAGGGCACACTTACATTTTCTACGTCTGTTTTTTCGGTTATTTCTGCGTCTGTTTTTTCTGTCACTTTGACGCTCATATCTTCTTCTGTTTCTTCATCTTGTTCTTCCTTGACATCTTCTCGTTTTGGTGTTTCCCTTTTGAAGAACTCGGTTGGCTAAAATATGAAATGAAGTGCTGTAGTTCAGTTGACTAATGTAATAATGAAATGTTGTAATTCAGTAGCTAAATATACAATGAAGTTTGTAGCTCAGTTGATTAAAGTATGCAAAGAGGTGTTATAATTCAGCAGAGTAAAGTATACAATGAAATGTGGAAGTTCAGTTGACTAAAGTATGCAATGAAGTGTTGAAATTCATTTGTCTAATGTATGGTTTAGAGTGTTGTAATTCAATAGAGTAAAGTATGCAATAAAGTGTTGTAATGTTGTAATTCAGTTGACTAATGCTTGCAATTAATGGATTGTTGTAGTTCAGATGACTAAAGTATGTATTGAATTGTTGTAGTTCAGTTGTTTAAAGTATGCAATGGAGTATTGTAGTTCAATAGACTTAAGTAGGCATTGGATTGGTGTAGTTTAGTAGTCTAAAGTATGCAATGGACTGTTGTAGTTCAGTTTACTAAAGTCTGCAAATGTTGATTTGCATAAAATGAAGATTTATTTGTGGTGATAAAGGTTTGTTTATAAACTTTAGCTTCAAAACATAGTTTTCAAAAATATACAAAAATCATTCACATACCTCATGACTCACATTCATAGTAACAGCTCCCTAGCATATAATGAAGAAACGTTGAATGAAACCAAGTTTGCTGGTACAAGAAGCACTTTAATTGTTATGAAAAGATTGGTTTTTGTCGCATGCAGGGATTTGCGGTCAACATGAGTCTTAAGGCCCCTCCGTTCACACGGTCCGATTTGTCGGATCCGATTGTTTCAGTTTCGAATTTCGGTTGCTTGTTCAGACGGTCCGATAATTTTGTTGATATTTATATTCATTTACATATTTATAATTGTGGTAGCAGACATTTGTGTTATACAGTACATTTATCGATATATTTTTCGTATTTTTGTTCTTGTTTCCAAGTCTTTTTCAAATCTATGTAATTTGACTAGTCGGCTTTCTCTGATCTTGTCGGATGAAAATAGAGCACGCTCTATTTCTATCCATTTTTTTAGATTGACGGATCCGACTGTCGGAGCTCACTTTATATGTGTTCACACGATCCGTTTTTTAAGATCCGACAAAATCGGATTCAACAAATCGGATCGTGTGAATGGGCCTATACTATTGTAAGATCAACTGCTCGACTACATGATGTAATCTGTTGTGCAGGAATATCTGAAGGAAATGCAATGCTATCCACAACTATCTCCTTAAAGTGGTCATTTTAAGTCTCCATAATATTAATTCAGCTTTTTATAGTTTTTCTCAAAATAATGATTTTTGGCTGAAGTGACCTATATCGTTTTAACGAACCTTCTTTGTACCAGAATATTACAAGAAATGTTACTGGTGCCGAATTACTTCAGTCAAATATAATTTGCGCTAACGTGCATATTTTGATTTGAGAGGACTACACCTATACCTGTATAATGAGAACGGTGCAGAAAAAGTACTGAGAGTGAAAGGAATTATCCATTACAAATTTTACACCAAAACACCATGTGGAGATGGATGAGGTCATGATCAGGATTTCTTTAGCAATTCTTGGCCTAAAAAAGAATTTATCTTTTCAATGTTATGTTTTTACGAATTCAAAGTGCTCCAAGAAGAGAGGTTAATTGAAAATCATTGAAGATCATTAATTTGAGCTTTGCAGAAAGGCTAGCAAGAATCGAAAATTGTAATTTGGGAAGTTTTTTGGTCGGATTGTGTTGCGCGTGCGGAACAAATCTTAATGTACAAAAAGAAATCCACTTATTTGTTCTTATTTCTATTTTGTTCCGCTAAATGTCATTTTAATGGAAGTTTTAAGTGCCAAGCTCACCTCAGCTTGTTATGGTGAAACTGGTCTTTGCATATTGGAAGTAGAAGACTGAATAAAATTATGGCATTTACCTAGTCAAATGAAAGCAAAGATGTTAGTGTGATTGTAATTATAAAACTCCAGAAAGAATTTCAAGCGTGTACGTATAAGTGCATTTTAACAATCACATTTCTTGCACAATCTCTTGCAATGTTTCAGTATAAAGGCATACTGGTACGATAAAATATATCCAGGGAGAGGTAGAGGGCAATTGTCTCTGTGTCCTGGACTGATTGAGACCGTTGAATGTCAAATCAATGATATATTGCACTTTCAAAGTCAATTGAAATGGTCTTCTGTGATCCATTTGTGGATTGTTGTATGAAGCTAAGTATTGTAATACACAGTGATTCTGAAGATGCAGCCAATTTATACTCACAAGAAAAATTACAAATACCGGAGCTCCGTAACTCCAGACAGACCCAATGTCTGCCGTTGAAGACCAGCAACTAATTAAAATAACATATAATCTTTCATTGTTGGCAACTCGACTGTTCTATCGAAATTAAACGCAATTGCTAATGCCGCAGATTTTGAAAGGGTTCTAGTGGGATAAACTATCTGTAGCGATGCAAAAAATTTCTACTCGTTTGCGCTAGTCTAATTTTGCATTGGGACGGATGTGTTATTTAAAATGTGAAGCTTAAGAGGAGGCTGGATGATCCCTTTGTAACGAACTACAAACAGATCTAAACCTCTTTGAGTGATGAAAAACTCACGCTTTAATATATAGAAACTTTATAACTTGGAATTCAACCTGCGTTTCAGGTAGCACTTCATAAAAACTCCTATATACTCCTATATTCTTTTACTCCAATGCCTGAATGCCTATACTACTACACTTCGTACATTCTAATACCCTTGCTATATTATACCTATATATCTAACCCAATGGTTTTAGTCCGTTACTCTTCTTTACTGAAATGCATATGAAGGGTAAGTATGCCTTTTAACTTTTACTAAAAGATTACTTACACGTTGTTTTCATAGCCTTTCTTGTCAACATCAACTCTCCCAGCGATACCCGCAATTAGCAATGGACCTCCTACGAACATGTTTAAAAAAAACTATCAGACTGGCATGCATGCCATTTTTAATGATTGCCCTTATTCTGTTCGTAAAGATTTATTTGGTGTCTATCGTGCTGCTGAAGGTGTTGCCGTTCTCATTGGGACATATTCTCGTTGAATAACTCACCCCATCCTATCAGGAAGTAGACAATTTTGATTCGAATCGTTTTAAGAAGAAATTTCTTCAGCAAATTTTGTATCCAGAAAACAGTAAGTAGCATCCATGTAAACTGAGATAGCAGCAAGTAATATAAGAAAAATGCAAGAAATCCACATAACTCCTATACAACCAATAAAAAACGAGTGAAATTCAAGAGCTTGAACACGAGAAATTACTAGCTCAAGCGTGTGTAGATGTTATTTAAATACACGAAGATTTGAATTGCTGTCGATTAAAAGTATATTACTCTTAGTAATGATAATACATAGTGTTACTCTAACTGATTTTACTTTGCATGTATTATTCCAACCAAAGTACTATATTTCTTATGATATGAAACATTAAGAACAGGTCCATGTTTAACTCAATATTTGTGAAAAAATCAAACAAGACAGTTTTTCATGTTACTCTTAAGTACTGATATTACTTAGTATTATACAAAGAACTGATGCTGGTGTTATCTGCCAGCAATATGATAGTTATATATTCTCCGTTCGATTACCTTCTCTGCTGAAACGTGAGCACCGATCAAAAAGATTGCCACGAGGATACAGCAAATAATGGCCTCAAACAGATGAAACAATTCACCGGTCGTTTTTTTCCTGCAACGTTTGATATAATTTGAGGAAACGGATGCTGCAAATGCAACTAGAGACTATCAAAATAGGTTCAATGAATAAAAATGATTCCACTTTCAGTCACACATTTTTCTAAGATGGATATATTTTGTTGCTCTCTGCAAGTATGTGAAAACTATTGGAGCTAGATGTCTGTGTGCATTTACAGTATTTTTTCTCTATCGATCCTGTGTTTAAGCCGTCATTGGCAGTTAAACCGACATGAATAACAAGTTAAGCAATCTAAATCAAGATTTAATAATTAAATCAATGATAAACAAGGTAACTGCAACAAACTTACTCTTGGGTAGCCAAAGAGTAAATAGTTGAACAGATGAGAATCACGAAGACAGAAAGGCCGAAGTAAACATTGGCTTTGATATTCAGAACTTTTTCTGTTCTCTACAAAAAGGAATATTTCAAAAATTATCCCTGAACATTCTGTTTTGTCCTCTTACGGTCTTTTAGTACAATGAACGAATATCGGGAGTTTTTCGCTGAGGGAAAAAAGGTTCGCGGGGGAGGGGGAGGAGGAAGTAAAAACATTACTGCAGTGTAGACTGGGTATCGTGAAACATGATCGAAATGAATGAAAAGGCAGATCGCGTTCATAATTATTTTGTAAAAATGATAACATCTTTATATATTCTGTTATCGTATTCATACGTTGTTGTTATTTATACAACATCGCAATAGGTTTGTTTCTGTACAAATATTAAGATATACATTATATTATGACATGTAGCTGTATAAAGTAAACGTTAGACGGTCTAAAACACTTTTACCTCTTCTTCACCTAGCACAGCAAATATACCAGTGACCTGGCATTCGCACGTGGTGTGCGTGAGATTGCTTGATCTTGTCGTACAACCTCGTCTTGTCCAAGTACTATATAAAAACAAAACGTCATTGACCAAATATGGTAAAAACATCCGATGTCCTTTGAGTGAGAATCGGACACTCTGTATCAACTATAGACAAACAATGCACTCTCGCTGTGATTTATAAGTTCGCAAAAATTATTTTTCCTCACCCTGTTCTTTGGTCCCATGCAACGCATGTTTTTCGTAATATGTATGAACGTGGAAATAAGTTCTCATCCTGAAAAAAAGTACAACGATTGTAATCAGTTTTAAAACGCAATGAAAACTACTAAGTTCTACTTTGTGTAGATTGCATGCGCAATAGACAATGAGATATTAAAAAAAAGCCATACATATTGATATTCTTGAGATCAATAATTGGAAGGGCTCATATTCTTTTATGTATGTTATAATCCATTGTAAGCAATGACGATATTGTATGAATATGAGCCCAGCCCCTCCCCTCCCCTTCCAATTTCTACCCTGCACACATGACTTCAGTACTATTTTATTTCCAATTCTATAAAGAATTCCGGCTGGCAAAGTATTAGCAATGCTGTTCAAAACTGAGAGATATTTAAAATATGTACTGCAGTATTACCAAATTCCACGATTTCGAAGAACTTACCAATATATGTTCGAAATTTAGCACTATCGGATTGGATGGCGTTATTTCCATTCGACGATTTATGAAGATTGAAATAATTCGAGTTATAACACTTTGTTTGTCAAAAAGTAGCAACTCTCGTCTTTCCTTAGGAAATACATCAAAATATTTTACAATGGCTTAGTCAAAAGTACTTTATGGTGGATAGACGTTTATTATGTCATATGACATTAATTGTCGCCTGAGAAATTCAGTTTACATTTAACTATAGCAATCTATTTAAAATATTTCACATAGGTTTTGGCAGAAGTTTACTTACAAACTTTTAGAGCAGGTCGATGCCTTACTCATAGGAATAGCAGCGTTTTTTCTCTCTGACCATGGATTATAGATAGATAATAGCGTTGTCGTATTCTGAGACAGAAATTTTGGCATCCGAAGCCCATCTAAAACACATTCAAATCGCTATTTCGCTTTTTCTAAATCAGTGACATACAAATAATTATGTGCGCATTGATTATAAGAAAAAACCCCATTATTTGCAAGGTAGTTTAAAGTGATTAGTGTACAATCAACTGTATTGGTTGCCAGTGGTGGAAATATTTTCCATTTCCCTTCACAATTTACTTACATTTTAAAACCTTATACCATATTGATGTGAACCCGAGATGCTCAATATTATCGTCCGTCTTAAAACGAACTTTGATGGAATTATTGGACGAGTTGAATGGGTAGCTGTGAGCTGGGAACGACTTAGGTGGCGTGCTGTTGCCACAGTATCTCAAAAATTTATCCCCATCGTAAATTGCTACAAAATCGTATTTGCAATTCTTGTCATTTTCCAAATCGAATTTCACGAACTGTACAACAATGGTGTGATTTTCATCCACCTGGATGTCCCAGGAACAATCCTTGTTCTTTGGATACAAACCATTTAAGATTGGCGACGAAAAGATTCCTTTATCGTCAGTAAAATATTTTGGGCAATCTAAATAAATTCATAACCATTCATTGGATCGCATTTTCTTTACAATTGAGTACCCCGTGCTAAAAGTGCGGGGATGCTTCTGCTGTTTGGGATAGGATCTGTATTAAAAACATAAAGGCAACAGTATATGTATTCTCCATTCGTATTTATTCTCTAAGATATTGGAGAAGGATCAAAAAATACATTTTAAAGGGAAAGTTCAATTGAGGCTCATTATTTTTCGTCAATGATGTCCAAACATGCATATAATTAATTCATTTTTAAAATACAGACCAAACATGATTTCGCTTGTGTCCAAAGAACTTTGGTCAAACACGAATGCACCCGTTTGCTTATTTCTGATGCCATTCAACAGCTTCATTTTAATTTGACTAGCTGCATTTGCAATCGATGCATCGATTTCCACGTAAAATCTGGCTGCATCACTCCCATTCCTGAAGCAGATTCAACATGCGTCATATTTAAATTCTAGATTTGCTCATAAATTCAAAGGTTGGCTTTGTGATACTGTTTTTGAGCTTTCAACGAGCAGTAGAACAAATCGCCAGTTTACATATATTTTTGGGTTGCGAGCTTCAAAAAAGGCTGCGTTTACACTATACTGGATTCGCTCATCACGATATCTTCTTTTGCTTTAAAGGGTTAACTCTTCGGAGTAAAAGCTTATAAAGCTGATAGATTTAGTCTATTTAATTGTCTTTCTGACGTTGAACAATTTCACTGCCTTCTAATATAAAAAACATTCAACCTGCTACGATAGCAATCCGGTATAGCATAGTCGTAATGTTGGATGATTTTAACAAAGGATTTTCCCTATTTGCAATGAAAATTTCATCCAACATGGCGAGCATTTCATTGTTCTCTTACTCCCAGGGGGATGATTGCAACCCACCAATACTTACCAGTAACTGAAATTATTGACTTTCTTGTAACCTTCTATAGTCTGCAAAGTTTTATCAATCTACACGAGAGGAGAATGTTATTTTTGTTAACGAATCCCGTCTAATCATCCCTGGTATTTGCACAATATTTTTTCTAGAAAGTTGCTACGCCAATTTGTACTTACCCAAGTTCTTAAGTTTTCTGTCATACTTAAATATTCGGATGAGTTTGGATTATTCGATGCATCTGTAAACTTCTGATTTGTTATCGTCAGATTAACTTGAACAAACTTTGCTAATAGGAAAATAAAATTTTTGTGATTCTTCTTGAATTTTGAAGTTCCTGAGATATGTTCATACAGTCAGAGATTGTGACAGATAAAGTTATTTGTTGTGTTTATAACCATTTGATTCATGTAGTAAGGTGGTATGATCATGCGCAAATGTCACTTGAGGAATACAATGAGCTTCATTTATTTCTCAAAGTTTTGCGAAAGAGTTAGCTGGCAAAATGTTTTAGATATCCGTGAATTATATCTGGTAGATACATCTCAAAAAACTTTTTAAGTTTTTCGTAATGATTTTGTTTGACATGAATCACACGACTTACTTGGATTTGCTCCTCGTTTGGCTTGCTTTGCTCATCTGCTCCTCTAAACAAACGACGTTTTGTTAAGTGTTAGGTTTATATTAATGTTAGGGAAACGTGAAAAGTTTAGGCACACAATTGAGCTGATATAAGACATCATTTAAATCTTCTTAAATACCGTCACGAATAGATGGACAAGAGAAGGGAACGTAGATACTGTCGCCATATTGCCTCCAGAGACTGTGATTATTTTTCGTTTCTTTCATGGGAAGATAAACGCCGTTCTCGTTCAAACAATCGTGCCTTTTCATTTCAAACACTTCAAAACAAAACGACAACTGTAAAATGGCAAATGAAATTTGAAAGAGCACAGAAATTGTTGTTCCATGAAATTTCCTCCCACTGTAAGTTACCAGTTTACTGGATGGCACCGTGTTTCGACTTTATTCCAAAGCCATCATCAGAGAATATATAATATATTAATCCTAACACGGTTTTTAATATGCACATGAAAAACATGTGACTTGGACGAGAGATTTGTACTCGCGAGTTAAAGACCGCATATTAAAAACCGTGTTAGGATTAATATATTATATATTCTCTTTAAGTTACCGAAGTATGAAATTGCTCACTTCAAAATACTTCATATTGCTAAAGCAAACGATTTCTTTGTGAGGCTTACATAAGTCATAAGATAGAGTAGCTATGTGCTATAAGATGACTTGCCTTGTTTAGGTTTTAATGGCAAGCAGATTTGGTTGAGTGCTTTTAGACAACACTAGCAACGATGCTTCATTGGGATTAATCTGGATGCCAGCAAAACGTACTCAAGGCAAGTTATGTATTAATTAACGTACTTATCTCCGAAGCGATAGTTGTGACTGTATAAGGAATATGTTGTATTTCCTCAAGAAATGCCCATATGCCAAGCTTCAGACGTTCTTTCTCTTCATTTTGTTTGAGACGAGTCTCGACCGTATTCATTATGTCTATCCCTCTGTCAAGCAGACTCTTGAGCTTTCCAACTTTCACACTGTCATCATTAGGATCCGTTATCGTTCTATTCGTTGGTGAAAATGCTTCACGATACTTGTGAGTTTTGATAGTGACAAAAAATGAGTACATGTTAGCTAATTTTGTTCATTTGTGATATATTTATTAGAAGATAAGGAGTCTGTTACAATATGATGAATGTACTTTTTAGTCTAGACAGCCACAAGTCTTATTAAAAAATTTAAAAACTACAAAAAAATTCCACCCAATTCATTTTGCATTGTGTTAAGTGCCACTTAATTGTTGAATGTAGATTCACTTTAACAGAAGAATAAGTAAAAATACCTTATTTTCATTTGACACGATTTCTTTGATTGCTGTATTAAGAAGTCTTTTTTCTACCAAATTCTAAACAACAACAGTGCCCATTGATTGTAATGTCGATGACGTCAAGTCAAATATGCAAATTGCACTTTGCGTGCATCCTACGTAGTTGTCCTACCTCCCCCCCCTAATAGATTTAGATTTGCAACGGTTGTAAACCGGCAAAAAACTCATTACGTGCCCTTGAACCAAAACCAAAAAAATTTTCCTCTTGTTAAACATACAGAAAAGCTCAAAGAGCTACCGAAAGATAACACCTAAAATTTGTTTTATTATTTAGCATTTAGGTCAATTTTTTGCTTTCATATATTTATTTAATCGGACAGATTCCTTAGGTGTTTCACTGAAATTGTACTTCCATGTGCTACTCGTTACATATACATAGCTATGTTTGTAAGAATATCACTAGATATGGCTGTGTTATAATTTATTTTTATCATAATACTGACCAATACTGTCGTATTTTCAACTCTGTTGTCTTCAGCAAAATGGCAAATCCTGCATAGAAGAAAAATATACTTTTGAACTCTTAAGATGTGGTTCATGTACAGAATTGGTGCGCGAGATTGCAAATTGTAATTAAGGTGGGTTTCACTGCTCATCCAAACGTATAAGTTAACTGTTATTTGAATCTGTCTTAGGCTATATATGTATATGGTGTTTGCTAAGTAAGAAAGCCTTTGACACTAAGAAAATATACACCCCTTTTTTGAAACTATAACTTTAATTTAGCTTACATGTAATTAATTTAGCAAATGATTGGATGGAAAAAATGTTATTCTCCCTATTCATTTTTTATTGAAGTTGCGATTATTTTCGACTGAACGTAACAGTGACAGACATACACCCTCCAAAAGTTATCAAGTTATGTGATTCTCAAGACATGGAAAATGTACAAAAATGCATTGGGTAATTTGGGTTTGGAAAAAATTGAAAGTGATTTTCAAGGAGCCTCCCCACAAACATTGAAACAACTAAGTCCTCACAATTTTTATTGACGTATGTTTAAAAGGATGCGTCAAATTTTCACATTTTACTCAAACAAACTAATTTTATGATTATACGATGTCAATATAATGAGCAAAATATTTTACTTTGTAATTTGTCAAAATAACCTTGTTCTTTATTCCTCCTTTACTACTCGTGACAAGGTTTTCTTTTTTATAAAAAGTAGACATTATCACACAATATATTACGAAGAAACTGCAGAAAAAGCCATTCGGACTGTCTGTGGGTGTTTTTTTTTATTTTGTATTTCGGGGTTTATATTATTGTTCATTGCTACATAATTGCTAGCACCATTTTTTATGAATATAGCATACTTTGTCGATTTGAAAGTAAAAAACGATCAAATATATAATTACGCTGCGTTGCTAAGTTTAAAGATTGTGTTGATAACCACTCGCAGATAGGATTATTTAATGGAGAAAGGACACACGGAAGAAAAGGTTTTTTATTGAATGTTTGATCCAATTAAGAAAGTTTTTATCTAGCCTAGCTATATCTAAAATATGCCTTCGTTTGATACCCTCATTCGTTAAAGTGCAGTGAGCATCTTTTGTATTATGAATATTTGCAAAAACGGCAGGTGTTTGAGTCG